TGTCTTTCCTCAGTAGCGCACTGCTCTGTATGAATGGGTGAATGACTCGTACTATATCAAGCGCTTTGAGGGGCCCCTGATAAAGAGCTATATAAGTACAGAACATTTACCATTTACAGGAAGCACCAACAGCCTCACAAGCCGATAACAGAGTCCACTTGATGTGTTTAAATGTCCACAGATATTCACTTTAGCAGTAAATGAACAGGGTCTTAGTACAGCACCCTGAGGAACGCCCACACTCTTTTCCTGAATCCTCGCTCAGGAGGTTGCTGGTCGATCCCAGCCCGTGCTGTCGGTTTCGATGTTTCCTTGGGCAAGATACTGAACCCTGAGTTGCTCACAAAGAGTGTTAGCTTTGCTCAGTAGCACACTGCTCTGTATGAATGGATGTGAACGGGTGAATGACGTTTGTGAAGTACAGTTTTAGGAAGTTTAGAAATGTCCACAGATATCCACTTTAGCAGTACAAAAAACAGGGTCCTCTTACAGCACCCTGAGGAACGCCCACACTCTGTTCCTGAATCCTCGCTCAGGAGCGTCACCGTTAGCATTAGCTCTCGCTGCCTCCATCGTCACAAAGTCCAGGACCTTAACGAGACAGAGAAATAAAAACAGTCAGAGCTGTGTTTTAATGTCCACAGATATTCACTTATATACATACATAAACAGAGAAGCATCTCCAGATCAGAAACACCTGCAGAGACTTTACTTGTGTCGTAGCAACTTAAAATCTGCTGCTGTCTAGAGTAAATGATGAGTTAGGCAAATATGCAAAGAAACACAATATCGATATAAAGTATTTTGAGATCTTCGTTTTAAAGGTTTCTGGTTCTTACCCGTCCCCTTGTGTTCTGTAGCTTCTGCATGTGAACGGTCTGCATAGTCACAAACCCTCAAAGTTCACCCTGTAGCGACTAAAACTCTAACACAGGGGTTCCCAACCCCCGGTCCGCGGACCGGTACCGGGCCGCGGAGGTGTTACTGCCGGGCCGCGAAATAGCTGTGAGTTTATCGTAATATTTGCAGAATTATAAATATATAAAAATATTTTATCATAATATTTTTTTCAAAAAGTGTTTAATTTTCGCACCTATGCCACCAGTCATATTATTTCATCCAGTAGCTAGTTAATCTTTCACCAGAAAACCGTTGAAAATGGCTTTTATGATGTTCCGAGGGATTCGGCGGCTCAGCCTAAGGTCTCAGCCTCTTGTGCGCACGAGCATGTTACCGGTGGGCCAAGTAGGAAGAGGAGCGCACAGGAGACAACCGTTTGATTGCAGACTGTTATGTTTATGTGGGGAAATGGTGGTGCATACATTATTTGAGATATATTTCAAACTCGGACTTCATTTTAAGGACATGTCGGCCAGGAGTGTAGAGCTATTTGTTTAAGCACCGGATTGGCAAAACAGGAGAGTAAACCAGTCTGCCTTGATCTATGAATTAATGTCCGGGACTCTCACGGTATCTGCTGCCCGCAGCTGTTTTATAGAAGGAAACCCTCCTTCACTTCATGAAATGGCTGAAGCATCAGGAGGCAGCGGGACGTATACTCGGTAAAGAGCTGTGCCTTTTTACGCACCGCCTTCGCTGTGTTTAACTTAATCAGAACAGTTTAAGAGTGACTGCAGGCTGCTACGTGTTAACCACACACACCTCTACACACATCGAACTGCCCGATTACTCCCCCTTTTATTAGTTTTATGAAGGATATGTCCAGTCAGTCACCAAGGCGCATGATGTGTGTGTGTATGTGCTCTGCTCAGCTCAGCTCTGTGTGTTCGGTGTGTTTGTGTCTGTCCGACACCGGCATATGCGGCTGTTCCCAAAATAAATTAGTTTAATCTTAATCTCGATGTAGTGCTATGCTGTCGGGAGTGCACCGGAACGAACGACACTATCATAATATCTTCTGAAAACAAATGCCAGTGACACACACACACACACACACACACACACACACACACACACACACACACACACACACACACACACACACACACACACACACACACACCACACACACACACACACACACACACACACACACACACACACACTTCATAATGCGCCTTCTCCTCGTTTTCCCAGCATTCACTGGATTATCCGTAAATCATACAAACAAAACCAAAACGTTGATTTATCTGTTTCCCGTTTTGGTTTAAAAACTGAATAACGTCGGTTTTTTGGTTTTCCGAAAAACCAAAAAACAACACCGGTTCTTTTTTAAACTTTGTTAATATGTTTTGGATGCATATTGTTCTAGTATTTGTTCAGGCTGTTACATACAATTAGCCTCTGTTGCTACCTGCTGGTGGTGAGTAAATATTAAAATCAGTTAAAATTGACAACCGGTCCGCGATTTTTTTTTAATGTATCTGCCGGTCCTTGGCACAATAAAGGTTGGGAACCCCTGCTCTAACACAGAGAAGAGCTGTCTATGCTGCCCCAGAACGCCTCGTTGGACATTTCTCTTTTTCCATTTTCTTCTTCCTGGCCGTAGTGACGTAACGGCTAAGCGGATTGGTCCTTTTGGACCAAGCTCCTCACACACACACACACACACACACACACACACACTCAGCCTTATCTTTTCTCAGCCGCGGTGCTGCGCGGAGCTCCGTACACACACACACACTCGGAGCTCAGGCTGTGAGTGTGTGTGTGTGTGTGTGTGCTCAGGCTGAGCTCCGCTGTGTCTCGCAGACCCCACGCAGCAACCAGGAAACGACACCAGTAACCCAGCTCACACTGTCCGCTCCTCGAGCCCCAAAGGGCGGAGCAGCGAGCCTCCCAACGTCCCGCCAACACGGCACCCAGACCCCACGCAGCATTCTCATCTGTTTGTCATTACTGGTGTCATTTCCTGGTTGCTAACAAGGGTTAGTTATTGTAACACATAATCACTGATGTTCTGCTGTAACGGTGGTGGACTCATCAGAACAGAGTGGGCGAGCTGACCAATCAGAGCACAGTGGGCTCACAGGGAGGGGGGGGGCAGGAGCTCCAACAAGCCATGTAGGACAGAGAGTGAATACACATGCTATACAGAGATGCTGTATGAGAAACCAATGTGAGTTTGGAACATTGAACAATGTAAATCTATTCTAGTAGACCTCAACAATGGAATTATGATCAGTAGAAATGGCCATGAGACATGGGACCTTTAAAGCTTGCAAGCATGACGTCTGCACTAAAGGGAGCGTCCTGTTCTGTGTGAAACAGACTCTCTTTATAGGAAGACATCAAAGATAATTCACATGACAACACAACATCATGTGAGGCCAGCTGGTCGACCCATGGCACAGCACGGTATGCTAAAACTCACACCCTTCAAAGAACAATGGGATATACAGATAACCCCTATCGCTAATTCCTTCTACTCATCCTCTCCTCCTGTAGTGTCATAAAACCCCCGTGTCCAAATACATCTGTTTCACACATCCATTTAAAGCATCAGCAGTTACATGTCATTAGGATTACACTGTATTCAGCTTTCATACCATCATTGCCAATAACTGAGAATTGTTCTTGAAGATGTCAGGAAAACACATGAAAACCTTTCCATCAAATTGGTGAATAGTTTTGGGGAAACAAAATGTAGTATTTTATCTTTTCTGAATATAAATATAAATGAAAAATGTACAGAAAATGTGTGAAAAAATTAAACTTAAATATTATAAAAGAAATGATTGGAGAGGATTTTATTGAATATGTCAAAAATATCTGAAAAATAAAGAATCTGAAAAATCTCCATACATTTGGTGAATAGTTTGTGGGATTTAGATTTGAGCTCCATCTCTCTGTAGTTATCTCCAGCTCATCTGGAGGGTAGTCGACTCACCACTTCACCAAGTCAGGGAAAGGTACAAAAAGACCTCCTATTTCCAAAAATCCAACGTCTTCAGATCTCTTGTTTCCTGATGAAACTCAGAGAGACTCTGAGACATTCAGGGTCATTTCATCATCATCGTCATCATCATATATAAACTCTGTTCAGAGGGAGGATTTAAAGTCAGTTTCTTCTCAGGGTTTTGGTTGATTTGTAAAAAGTAAGTGTTGTTTGTAAGTACCCTTATCTATTAAAAAGGGTATTGATTACAGACCTGATTCATCTCAGTTCACAGGGAGACATTTACACTTTAATATCTGTTCTCATTATTATCCTCCCAAGTTATTCCTGGGTTTGTAAAGATAGGAAAGTCTTTGATGTTTTTTCTACCTTTTTAAGTTGCAGTGGTTTCCTGTAGACAGAAGAGGGTTGTTTTGAAATGTTAAAAAAGCGACGTTAGTACAGCTTCTGCCTCTTCCTCTTCCTCAGTCCTCTTCACGTTAAAAACCTCTGAAGAAAACACACCCTGTAATCCACACACAGAACCAGAGACTCTTCCAGAACCTGAACCACACACTCCTTAAAGTCCCCCTTAAAGTCCTCCTTAAAGTCCTCCGTGAAGACACCGTCCAATCACACTTTAAATCTGATCTGAGAGAGAAATCAGGACACACACACTCTGCAGGAGGAGAGAGAGAGAGAGAGAGAGAGAGTGTGTGTGTCTTGCTGTGAGAGTGTGTGTGTGTGTGTGTGTCCTGCTGTGAGAGTGTGTGTGTGTGTGTGTGTGTCCTGCTGTGAGAGTGTGTCATCCCATCATCATCCCAGCAGGTGACTGACAGGTGCACCATGGTAACATTTTGTCTGGAGACACACACACACACATACACACACACACTAATGTAAACACTACCTGAGTATCCAATATCCTGTGTGTGTGTGTGACAGGTGTGCATTTAGGTCAGACCTCAGAGGGGCTCCTGTGTGCAGCAGCAGCCAATCACAGTGCAGCTTTCTAAAGTAATATTTCAGAATAACTTTAAAGACCCTCTGTGACCCTCTGACTGAGATCTCAACATGAAACAAGGATTCTGAATCTTAATCCAACGATCACTTCGTAATTAATGTGATTTAATTAATGATGTTTGTTTGTTTGTTGTTGCAGCACAACGCTCCGATCCCTCAGGGCGGCCGGGGGGCGATCCAGTTCGTCACTCAGTACCAACACTCATCTGGACAGAGACGCATCAGAGTGACCACCACCGCCAGGAAGTAGGAACACACACACTCACTCACTCACTCACTCACACACTCACTCACTCACACAGAGACACTCACTCACTCACTCACTCACTCACTCACTCACTCACACTCACTCACTCACTCACTCACTCACACACTCACACACACTCACTCACTCACTCACTCACACTCACACTCACACTCACACTCACACTCACACTCTCACTCACTCACTCACTCACTCACACAGAGACACACACACACACACACTCACTCACTCACTCACTCACTCACACACACTCACACTCACACTCACACTCACACTCACTCACTCTCACTCACTCACTCACTCACTCACTCACTCACTCACACACTCACACACTCACACACTCACACTCACACACACACTCACACACACTCACTCACTCACTCACTCACTCACTCTCACACACTCACACTCACACTCTCACTCACTCACTCACTCACACAGAGACACACACACACTCACTCACTCACTCTCACTCACTCACTCACTCACTCACTCACTCACTCACTCTCACACTCACACTCACACACACACACACACACACACACACTTTCTTGCATTATTTGAAAACAAGGTAACACTTTTGACAGATTTATTTAATATCTTTTTTTACTTATTTCCAGATAAATGTATTAAGGCCTTTTACGACTTCTGACGTATCTGCAGGCACAAAGAAATGCAAGAAAAACATTACAAAAAGACTTCAAATAATGCAAAAAGATTTGGGTAGAAATGCTGGAAATAAAAAAGATCTTATCTTATGTCAGAAACTGTTTTAAAGAAAGGTTCTACATGCTGGGTACTCCTTCAACAAATGGACCGATCCCACGTGTTTCATAATGAGCTGCAGCCGGTCGGTCGGGAGTCTGAAGGTCACAGTAATAATTACAGATGAGATAAGATAAATGTGTGTTGATCCCAGAGGGGAGGTTAGGCAGCAGCAGGAATACAAGCTTAGTTCAGATGCAGAATGATGTGACCTCAGGGGGCTTCACATTATTATCTCTGGGTCACTCTTATTCTGAAAATAATGTGAAAACAGGAAATCTCTCATGTCGTTTCTCTGGGGCTCCACCTAGTGGCAGAAAGTCAACAACGCAACTCTCTGGTTGGTTCTAAATATTAAAAGACTTTTGACAGATGTATGTATTCTTTTATTTACTTATTTCCAGGTATACTTCTTCAGTATCTGCACGAACAAAAAAATGCAAGAAAAAATGAAAACATTTAAAAAAACTTCAAACATTACAAAAATATTTGTGTAGAAAAGCTGGAAAAACCGACTTAGTTCAGTAAAAACAGAGACTTCGTTAAAATAAGGCAGAATGATGTGGGCTCAGCTCCTCTGTGCTCCGGACCTCAGGGGGCTTCACATTATTATCTCTGGGTCACTCTTATTCTGAAGGAACATTAAAAACAGGAAGTCTCTCAGAGAGGATTCACATGTCGTTTCTCTAGGGTTCCACCTAGTGGCAGGAAGTCAACACAAATAAAGCACTTCTTATCTTCTTATCTAATCTTATCTCCCCCCCCCCCCCCCCCCACCACCCCCCTCCTCAGCTGGGCGGACGCTCAGTCTCAGATCCAGAGCATCGCCGCGTCCTTCGACCAGGAGGCGGCGGCCATCTTGATGGCTCGGCTGGCCGTGTACCGGGCGGAGACGGAGGAGGGGCCGGACGTCCTGCGCTGGCTGGACCGCCAGCTCATCAGACTGGTGCACTATATATATTAATAACAATAATAACAATAACAACAACTGAACCTGTTATTAATAATAATGTGTTTGTGTTCAGTGCCAGAAGTTTGGAGATTACCACAAAGACGACCCCAACTCCTTCAGGTTCTCTGAGACCTTCTCTCTCTACCCTCAGGTGATCAACATCCCATAATGCTCTGTGTGGTTACCTGTGTAGTTGTTATTTACTTGTGTTGTTTACCTGTGTTGTTGTTGTTGTGTTGCAGTTCATGTTCCACCTGCGGCGCTCCCCCTTCCTCCAGGTGTTCAACAACAGTCCTGATGAGAGCTCATATTACAGACATCAGTTCAACAGACAAGACCTGACGCAGGCGCTCATCATGGTGCAGCCGGTGCTCTACGCCTATTCATTCAGTGGGCCCCCTGAGGTACTATACACCTGCAGATACACCTGTACACACCTGTAGATACACCTGTAGATACACCTGTACACACCTGTAGATACACCTGTACACACCTGTAGATACACCTGTACACACCTGTAGATACACCTGTAGATACACCTGTAGATACACCTGTAGATACACCTGTAGATACACCTGTAGATACACCTGTACACACCTGTAGATACACCTGTACACACCTGTAGATACACCTGTAGATACACCTGTAGATACACCTGTACACACCTGTAGATACACCTGTAGATACACCTGTGCTCTACGCCTATTCATTCAGTGGGCCCCCTGAGGTACTATACACCTGTAGATACACCTGTACACACCTGTAGATACACCTGTACACACCTGTAGATACACCTGTAGATACACCTGTACACACCTGTAGATACACCTGTAGATACACCTGTACACACCTGTGCTCTACGCCTATTCATTCAGCGGACCCCCAGAGGTATTCACATATATATATATATATGTATATGTATATATATATATACATATATATATATATATATATATATATATATATATATATATATATATATATATATATATGTATATGTATATGTATATATATATATATATATATATATGTATATATATATATATATATATATATATATATATATATATATACAGTATATACCTGTATACACACCTGTTCTCTGCGGACCAACGGATGTACACCTGAAGATATACACACACCTGTATATTAATATATGTGTGTGTGTGTGTGTTTCAGCCGGTGCTGTTGGACAGCAGCAGCATCCTGCCTGACAGAATCCTGCTGATGGACACCTTCTTCCAGATCCTCATCTACCACGGAGAGGTACGCACACACACACGCACGCACGCACGCACGCACATACACACACTCAATATGATTCAAACTAACCACGACATCTGACCCAGGACAAAGTCTAGATAATAATACCTGACCTTTTATACGTTTTATTGACGTTGATATCACCTGTGAATCATATCATTATTTTTATTAAACCCCCCGAGGGAAACACTGATTCACTTTATAGCGCTCAGATAAGACGTTTAAGATTAAAACATCCTTCACAATAAACCTCAAATTAAAAGAGCTGACTGTTTTTTTCAGACAGTGGCTCAGTGGAGAAAGAGCTCCTTCAGAATAAGAGCTGCTCCTTCAGAATAAGAGCTGCTCCTTCAGAATAAAAGACCTTACAGAATAAGAGCTCTTTCAGAATAAGAGCGTGTTACTGTTTGTTTCAGACGGTGCCTCAGTGGAGGAAGTGCTCCTTCAGAATAAGAGCTGCTCCTTCACAATAAGAGCTGCTCCTTCAGAATAAGAGCTCCTTCAGAATAAGAGCGTGTTACTGTTTGTTTGGTGGCTCAGTGGAGGAAGTGCTCCTTCAGAATAAGAGCTGCTCCTTCACAATAAGAGCTGCTCCTTCAGAATAAGAGCTCCTTCAGAATAAGAGCTGCTCCTTCACAATAAGAGCTTCTCCTTCAGAATAAGAGCTCCTTCAGAATAAGAGCTGCTCCTTCAGAATAAGAGTGTGTGTGACTGTTTGTTTCAGACGGTGGCTCAGTGGAGGAATTGCTCCTTCAGAATAAGACCTCCTTCAGAATAAGAGCTCCTTCAGAATAAGAGCGTGTACTTCCTGTGTTTCAGACGGTGGCTCAGTGGAGGAAGGCGGGCTATCAGGACTTGTCGGAGTACGAGAACTTCCGGCACCTCCTCCAGGCTCCGGTGGACGACGCTCAGGAGCTGCTTCACGCTCGCTTCCCCATGCCGAGATACATCGACACGGAGCACGGAGGCAGCCAGGTGAGAGGGGGGGAGACCTGTATACACACCTATATACACACACCTATATACACACACCTGTATACACACACCTGTATACACACACCTGTATACACACATCTTTATATACACACCTGTATACACACACACCTATATACTTCAATACCTGTATATACACACTGTATACACACACATCTGTATACTTCAGTAACTGTATATACACACTTGTATACTTCAGTACCTGTATTAATACATGTATATGAATGTCTTCAGGCCCGGTTCCTGCTCTCCAAAGTGAACCCCTCTCAGACGCACAACAACATGTACGCCTATGGACAGGTGAGACTCAGATCACTAACCGTTTACCCTGCATGAACACCTGAGGAGATATATCTGAAGTAGCCTCCAGAATATTTACTTTATTCTCAACCTGATCTTGTGTCTCTGTCCTCAGGAGTCTGGAGCTCCCATCCTGACAGACGACGTCAGTCTGCAGGTGTTCATGGATCACCTGAAGAAACTGGCTGTTTCCAGCGCTGCGTGATCACCTCTGACACACCTGACCTTCACCTGACCTCCCCTTGTTACCTGACCTTCACCTGACCTCCACCTGACCTTAACCTGACCCCCCCCTCCTCACCTGTCCGTTATGTTTGCTCTTTATTTGCTGCCTGTGTTCCCGTGGCGACCAGCTGAACCTCAAAGGTTCTGTTAGTGTTTGATCGTCTGTGAGCCCGTTAGAGTCCAGGTGTTTACACTCTATCAGCTGATCAATTAACCTGTTAACGAGAGGGAGGAGGAACGCTAACCTGTTCAACGTTTGCATGTTTAATATCATCTGTGTTCAGTTCATATCCAATACTGCTTGTTGTTGTTGTTGTTGATCATACTTTATTGACTCTGTTGTATCCTATAATATAATAACATAAAGAACAAGCAGTGCCCAAAGACTGGATTTAATGTGAGGAGAAACACTTTCATTTTTTAACGTCTCAGTTATTGCGGACACAAATTAGTTTATAATAAATAATAAAAACAAATAAAAGAATATATGAAAATATGAAAATGTTTATTATTAATAATTATACTAGAGTTAAATAAAATAACATTCAAAGACAATTAAACAGAAATAAATACAAATGTAGTTCTGGTTATTAGACACTATCTAATTTCTCTCAATTTAAGTCTGCAGTCATTTACGTTGTTATTGTTGTTATTGTTATTATAAGCAGTGATTATGTAACTTAATATTTTCCTAGAGATTGTTAAACCAAAAGCTGCCTGTGGAAACATTGAGAGAGACATTATAACGTGAGGGAACAGCTGACCTCGGATCTGTTTCTGGGTTTTAAGAGATTAAAGAGTGGAAACTCACTCAGACTCACGTGTAGTTTGATCCTCCATCAGTTATAACTCTTCATTCAGACTCACGTGTAGTTTGATCCTCCATCAGTTATAACTCTTCATTCAGACTCACGTGTAGTTTGATCCTCCATCAGTTATAACTCTTCACTCAGACTCGCGTGTAGTTTGATCCTCCATCAGTTATAACTCTTCATTCAGACTCACGTGTAGTTTGATCCTCCATCAGTTATAACTCTTCATTCAGACTCACGTGTAGTTTGATCCTCCATCAGTTATAACTCTTCATTCAGACTCACGTGTAGTTTGATCCTCCATCAGTTATAACTCTTCATTCAGACTCACGTGTAGTTTGATCCTCCATCAGTTATAACTCTTCACTCAGACTCGCGTGTAGTTTGATCCTCCATCAGTTATAACTCTTCATTCAGACTCACGTGTAGTTTGATCCTCCATCAGTTATAACTCTTCACTCAGACTCGCGTGTAGTTTGATCCTCCATCAGTTATAACTCTTCATTCAGACTCGCGTGTAGTTTGATCCTCCATCAGTTATAACTCTTCATTCAGACTCACGTGTAGTTTGATCCTCCATCAGTTATAACTCTTCACTCAGACTCACGTGTAGTTTGATCCTCCATCAGTTATAACTCTTCATTCAGACTCGCGTGTAGTTTGATCCTCCATCAGTTATAACTCTTCATTCAGACTCACGTGTAGTTTGATCCTCCATCAGTTATAACTCTTCACTCAGACTCACGTGTAGTTTGATCCTCCATCAGTTATAACTCTTCACTCAGACTCACGTGTAGTTTGATCCTCCATCAGTTATAACTCTTCACTCAGAGCGTAGAGAAGTCTGTTGTTGAGTTTCTAAAGTCTCTAATTGTTTCTAATAAAACTCTGCTGTGGAGAACCGGCTTCTGTCTTTATTCTGTAATACATGCAGGAATAATAATAATAACTTTAATTTATATTGTGCCTTTCATAAACTGAAGGTCGCTTGACAAAGAAACATAACAAGACATACACAAGACATGAAACGATAGTTACGTCTATAACTACGGTTCTATTGCATCCCTACTGACCGGTGCTTTAGCACTGGATGACTTATACCAACCATGTCATGAAGAATCCAAGCCCTTGCTCACTGCTGGAAGCAGCGGAGCTCGGCAAAAGGACCACGCCCAAAGGATGGGGAGTGGCAACATTAACCCGATAAAACCTGGAGAACGTGCCAGAAGACGCCCACGACGCCGCGGCACAGATGGTCTCCAGGGGCACCCCTCTCAGGGCAGCCCAAGATGTTGAGATGCTCCTTGTAGAGTGTCATCTCAGCCCTGATGTCAGGGGGCGGCCACTGGCCTCATAGGCATGTGAGATGGTATCGACAACCCAGTGGGGCAGCCGCTGTTTAGAGGGCCCAACCTCTTTTAGTGCCGCCATCGCAAACAAAGAGCTGCTCCGACTGCCGTATACAGGCAGTAGCATCGATATACGCCCTTAGGGCACCCATAGGGCACAGCATCGCCAACGTGCCGTTCTCCTGAATGTCAAAGCGTGCCAGCTGGGCAGGCTGATTGAAGTGGGTTTGTGGCTGGAACGCCACATTTGCCCAAAGGGCAACACCCGAGCCATCGGAGTCCCACCTCAGGCATGCATCGCTCATGGAGAGGGCATGCAACTCCCCAACTCGCTTCCCTGAGGTTATGGCAAGTAGAAATGCTGCCTTCGTGGACAGCCACTTAAGCTCCACCTGGGCCAGGGGCTCGAAGGGAGGAGATGATAGGGCATCCAGCAGCAGGGGCAGGTCCAAGGCCGGAGCCCTCGGGGTGCTAGGGGGACACTGCCGTAAAGCCCCTCTCAGGTAGAGGGACACCGACCTGTAGCACCCCATCGTGGCGCCGTCGACCCGAACATATCGGGCAGAAATAGCAGCCACCTAAACTCTGAAAGTGGAGTGAGAACGTCCGCTATCTAGAAGGGACTGCAGTCTTGGCAACAGTGGGCATGTTGTCCGAAGAAACAAGCACATGCTTGCCCCCCAGTTGGGGTAAAAAGTGCGTGAGTGCAAGCTGCACAGCCCGAAGCTCTAGCACGTTGACATGGCGTGCACCCTCCTGGGCAGACCACTGACCCTGAACAGTCCTGCCCTGCCGCACTGCACCCCACCCTGAGAGACATGCATCTGCAGTGACAGTCTCCCGGCGGGATGGGATGGCGCCCCCGTGCACGCCCATCAAAAGATAGGCCCTGTCCCTCCAGCGGGACAAAGAGTGGAGGCACCGCTGAGACACCCTGACTCTCCTGTGCCTGTGCCACTTGGTGTCCAAGTGAAGGCTGTGCATGGGGCGCAGTGACAGCAGGCCTAAGGGCACAACGGCTGAGGCAGCCATCAGTCCGCCCAAGAGCCGGAGGAACTGAATCTAAGGCACCATCTTGCCCAGCCTGAAGATGGGAAGAAGGTGGAAAATGTCATCCACATGACGAGGTGACAAATAGACCCTATTGGCGACCGAATCTAGGACCATCCCCAGGTAAGTGACCTGTTGGGAAGGGTCCAGGCAACTCTTCCCGGTGTTTACTGTTAGACCCAACCGGGCTACGTGAGATAAAAGGCGCGCCGTATCCTGGGCCACCGCAAACCAGCCAATTGTCTAAATACGGCAGGACCTTCACGCCCTGCGCCTGCAGGGGTGCGAGAGCTGCCGCCACGACCCTGGTGAACACCCTTGGAGAGAGGGAGAGACCAAAGGGAAGCACCCGGAACTGATAGTGTCGGCCCTGAAAGGCAAACCTCAAGAACTTCCGGTGGTGAGATGCAACTGGCACGTGGAAGTAGGCATCCCTCAAGTCCACGGTTTGCGAACCACTCCCCCTGTGCGACAACACGAAGGGTGTCTGCTGTGGTCAGCATATGGAATGGCAGCACCTTCAGGAATCTGTTGATTCCTCTGAGGTCCAAGATCTCAGCCTGCTGCAGAGAGGTAGAGACAGCCTGCATCAGATGGGAGAGGGAGTTCCCGATACGACCCATGCGTGCCGCTGCGTCGTAGTCTTTACAGAGCAGTTCGTCTGTGACCCTGCACTGAGGCCGAGGGCACCTGGCATCAGGCCTTGGAGCTTCATCAGGAGCCAGAATCAGGGAGGCGATTCTAGGCTCAATGGATGGCATGCGACTCAGCCCCACCCTCGCCGGATCCTGCATGGCAGCCAAGGTCCGGGCATTAGAGCCAGAGTGGGAGAGGGCCCTGGTGTCTCTCCAGCATGCATGGAGCTCCCTCAGGTACTCCTGGGAAGGAGGAACAGTGAGAGTGACAGGGGCAGGCTTATGCCTGAAGAAGGCGCTAGCCTGAGCCGAGTCGGCCTGCGGAACCTGAAGCTGCAAGCGTGCCAGGGCCGCACGAGTGAGCGGGGCCTCGTCCTCCACCTCTTCATTGAAGAGGTTAGCCGAAGCCGATAGCGACATGGCATCCTCAAGCAGAGGTGCGGCAACCGAAGGAGGGCCAGGCGGCAAGCTAGTAGCCCCCACACCGGCCCCTGAAGGGCCAAGAGCCACTCTGAGCGCCCGAGGCATGAAGCTACAGTTCATGCAGGCGCTTTGTGTGAGACCCTCCCTTAAATGCTCGAGGCCAAGGCAAGAGGGGCAGCGGTCATGGCCGTCCTCGGGCTCAAGAGAAGCCATACAGGCGCTACATGAATGAGCCATTATGTAGGTAGCCAGATGCAACGTAACCGGGAGCGGGAGCGAGAGCACAGCCTTCACCAGTTACCTGCTGAATGGAAAGATTAGCCTGAGCACTGCTACTAATCACAGAACACAAAGGGGGATGCAAACATAAATGTCCTACACCCACGTTACCAGCAGTGGGAGCGGGAGCGAGAGCACTGCCTTCACCAGCTGAGTTAAATAATGAAGCTTAATGGGGACCTATCATGCAAAATGCACTTTTGTACATCTTTTCTACATGAATATGTGTCCCCGGTGTTCCAGGGAACTCACCAAGTGTCAGAAAACACAACCCTCTCTATTTTCCTCCATACCCAAATCTCTAAAAAAGGGGCTGCAACGGATCTGATACAGACTGATCCAGATTTGAACACTTCACAGAAGTGGCGCTACGGCTATTGAGCCAACTCTCCACCTATCAGGGGAATGTGGGGTTGGGCCACGGCCGGCCATTGCTGCTCAAAAGCGCTGGAGACGCTGTAGTACATATGCCAGGCCTGTAAGTGGCGCTGTAGTCTGCCACAAAAGCAGCGAAGAAGACTTGGTTACCATGGTTACCCTTCTGTTTATTCTCCGCTGTGGCTTTCTTTCTCCCTCCCCGAGGCAAGCGTTTGCTCCCGCTGCTTTAATTCAATGCAATCCCTCCCCGTCGAGGCAAGCACTGTAATTCTCTCCGGTTAGTCCACCAGCAGATGACAAACACCCACCTCTCCGCCTCTTCCAAGGAACGAGGGGACCGTGCGGCAGAGTTTCAGTTTCAGTTTCTTTCGCCGGTCATGATGTCCGTTAAAGTTGAAATCTTCCAGACAAAATTAGAAAAGTGACGGTCAAAGGTCTTCTTTGTTATTTATTGAGCTTTAAAACAAATGAATAACGACTCTATATAATAAAACACGGAGGACGGAGATCTCTTTTTCTCCCCCTCTTCTGACAGCCCAGCAGCTGATCAGAGCACGTCTCCCCTCTCCTGCAGGGGGGCGTGGTCAGCAGAATCAGACCCGTAGACAGCAAACAGCACATAGAGCGAAATGAGGCATGGCTAAAATGCATGATCTGTTTGGTATTTTGAAAACAGAAACGTATAAATATACCTTATATAGGTATGGCCCTACAATATATAATTTAAATATAGCATGATAGGTCCACTTTAACAGAACATGCAAGATGTTAGCCAAGTGGCTGCTGCTAACAATCAAAACAATACGTTACCGGGAGCGGGAGCGAGCGCGCTGCATTCACCAGCAAATCCAAGTCAAATAACACAAATGTTAAGACCAGATAATTAGCTTCCAAAGAAAAAAACAGCATGGCATGAGTCACACATGCAGAGCACACACACAGTGAAAATTGGGGAGGGCAGCGACACTGAAGGCACGGTCCCCGAAGGTGCAGAGGCATGAATGGGGAAAGGAGAGCAGGCCGGAGTCTGAACCCTATCTGCATATATAAATATAATAATATGTACTAGAGATCTCCAGGTGCACCTCAGCTCTGTTTCTCCTCTACGAGCCTGGAAGCTGCATTTGTGCTGGTGTTTATTATTTTTGATATCTTATTGTGTTCCTGGTTCTTTGTTTTAACAGTGTGGTGAAAACCTGTTAACATAGGACCACAGGTTTAAGATTTGTTTTAATATATACCAAATCAAATGTGCAAATTGAGTTCACGTACTAAAGTGAATAAAATATATATTAATAAAAAATAAAAAAATACAACCCTTTTAAAATATAGAGGTGTAAATAAATAGGTCAATATTAAATTATGATAAAGATAACATTTTGTTATACACATTGTCAGTGTTATAGTTTCTGTGATTCATTTAATATATATTATATATTCTTTAAACTCGCATAGAAATCCAAAGAACATGGGGGGGGGGTTTCTCCTTTAAGAGTACAACAAAACAGGGGAACACAGGTACATTTACTAAGTTAAAACATGTATATATATATATATATATATATATATATATATATATATATATATATATATATATATCTTAAAGAAAATACATATACATGCTTCATTTTGGTGCCATATAGTTGTACTTTTAAGTAACAAATGTGCAGAAAAAGTCACTTTCTTCTTGTGAATGTGACCCTTTTGAATAAAAACCCAATATCTGCATGAAATCCATCACCTTAAGGGTTTATGAATCTGTCCTCATCCTCAGGTGTCTCGTTTGTCCTGTTTTTAGTTATTTTAATGTAATTCTAAATGAATATATGTGACATGAATTGACCGACGTAACGTGAACAACGTAACGTGCCCGACGTAACGTGACTTGTTGTCTGTAAGCCCCGCCCTCTACCGGTTTTGGTTGGCTTGGAAACGGCCGTAGCGTCTTTCGTGAAGCTCAATCTCAGCAGGTAGAAACATATACAAACTCATGAATACTTTAAACCAGATCATATACAGCTTTATAAATATACACGTGTGTTATATCCGCTTCATTCTGAGGTCTAACTGTTAGTTGAAGAAGCTCCAGCGCGATGTGAAGAACTGAGGAAGATACAAACAACGAGCTAATGTTAGCACCTAGCATGCTAACATAGTGGTTAGCTTCTAATACATGTTGTTTTACTTTATGTTATTTTAGCCTTAGCTTAGCAGATAGAGTACGAACTAAATGTAGGTTTGTTCCACTGTTTTTAAACTAAATACTGAACTAAATGTGCTACTTACAGCTAACAGGAGGCTCTCTGTGTTGAGTTAACAGGATGAACTCCTCCCTGCTGCTCTGAGGATGAGAGGGTTCACAGACCCTGAAGATGCCTGCAGGTCAGTAAACACAAGATAGTCAAAATAAGTTAATTTAGCTAAAAGTAGTGATTTTAATACTGAAGTGTACCAAAAGGTTGAAGAAGTACCCAGATTATTTACTATATAGTACTAGTAATAGTAAGTAAAAGTAGCCATACTACATTGTAAAAATAATACAAGTGAAAGTCCTGCATTCAAAGCTTGACTTCAGTAAAAGTAAAAAAGTATTAGAATTTAAAAAAAGTACCAAAAAGGCAATTTTAAGAACCAGATATTTTACATTACTAGTACTAGATTATTACACCCAATGGCCATTTCTTCCATTCATAATGGTGTCATCTCATTTATCTCCAGGTGAGAACAAAGACCGGGCGAAGACCCGGGAACGATTCAATGAAGTCTTCAAGAAATATTCAGACTCAGACAAGAAGAAGTCGAAGAAGAAACGCCCTGAAGCTCAAGAGGAGATCCTGGTGAGTGATCTGAAGCGGGACGGATACTGAACTTCTGTTGGTGTTTAAAGGTCTCCTATCATACAAAATACACTTTGTGATGTCTTCTCTACATCACCATGTGTCCCCGGTGTGTCCCCGGTGTGTCAGGAGACTCACTAAGAGTCAGGAAATAAACCCCTCTCTCTTTTCCTCCGTACCCACATCACTAAAAACGGGGGAACAACGGAGCTGATCCAGATTTGCTGCGTCATGACCACATTACTCAAATGTGGGCGGGCTTTACATCCACGGGCAAATCAGAAACGTTGCTGTCAGAAACAATGAGACGTGTTCTGGAAGTAATATGGTCTGTGTTTACATTAGCATGCTAACACTCAGAGCTAACCTGTACTGGAGAGAGTATGTGTGAAGAAGCAGGAAATCAAAAGGAACTCACCTTGTGGTAAACCTGAGAGAGAGAAAGAGTTTGAGCTCCATACTGTTTCAGAGAGAATCCTTGATGTGGTTTGGAACATGATATGGAGTTTCAGAGAGAATCCTTGATGTGGTTTGGAACATGATATGGAGTTTCATCACAGCAGAATTTAGCTGAGTTTCTGCTGGGAGAGTTCTCCTGATGAGATCTAGGGTGTTTCTCAATGTCGAGTACGCTTGCTTGGTAGCACATGTCTGCCGAGCATCTTGCTTCAGAAGCGAGTCAAGAATACTTCCTGGCATTCGGAAAAACGAAGTGTGGAACACGCTAGCAAGTGTGCAGGTGTGCGTCATATGAGAGGCCCCGCCTCTTACATCTTCCGCCACAGATTTGGGGAAATTGGTCCGTGCGCAAAGCATTGTGGGGATTTTAAGACCGCGGAGTCTACTCATGTGCAGCCTCGATATTTCTCCAAACGGAGTACGCCGGGCTCGGTAGATTTCCAAGTATGCTGGAGATTGGAACAGTACTTCGGCGGCACTCGATGACGTAGTATGCTTGAAATAGTGGCTCTGAAGCAGCTTTACTCGCGATTGAGAAACACCCCTACTCTCTCTCTAAAGCTACTGACCCAGAGTCAGCTCCTTAGCAGCAGCTGGAAGAGAGGGGGGGGGCTACAAGGATCTGTTTGGGGTTTGGAGCAGGACACTTCAGAGACATGTCCTTAGTAACAGCTGGAAGAGAGGGGGGGGGCTACAAGGATCTGTTTGGGGTTTGGAGCAGGACACTTCAGAGACATGTCCTTAGTAACAGCTGGAAGAGAGGGGGGGGGGCTACAAGGATCTGTTTGGGGTTTGGAGCAGGACACTTCAGAGACATGTCCTTAGTAACAGCTGGAAGAGAGGGGGGGGGGCTACAAGGATCTGTTTGGGGTTTGGAGCAGGACACTTCCGAGACATGTCCTTAGTAACAGCTGGAAGAGAGGGGGGGGGGGCTACAAGGATCTGTTTGGGGTTTGGAGCAGGACACTTCAGAGGCATGTCCTTTAGGGATGTCCCGATCACCTTTTTTTGCTCCCGATCCGATTCCGATCATTTGATTTTGACAATCTGCCGATACCGATTTTTCCCGATCCGATCTTTATGCAATGCATTAAGAGGAAAAAAAAAGGTAACAGATAACGGCTGGTCATCCAACGCGATGAATTCAGCTATCTTGGCCTTTTCACTGTTCTGGGGCAGTTTCTCTTTCCTTTTAAAAGTCTCTGAAAGTGTCAGTTGTTTCAGTGCCGTTACCTGAATGGCCGCTGTGTACTCGTTGTGTTGTTGTTGGTGTTTGTTTCTCAGGTGGCGTATTAGATTGGTCGTGTTGAACGTAGCTCTGTTCTTTCCACCACGCGGAACCTCCGCCTTGCAAACATTGCATCTGGCTGTTACACTGCCTTCGCTTTCAATTTTATAATACTTCCAAACTCCTGACATTTTCTCTGTCCCGACTCCCGAGGCACCAGCTGAACGTAGCCACTTGTTAGCTTACTGCTACTATTATGGCGCATTTCCACTACACGGCCTCGCTCGGCCTCGCTCGGTATGGCTAGGCCTCGTTAGGACTGGCTCACTTTATGGCGCATTTCCATTACAGTTTAGGAACTGGGGCAGTATCTATAGTAACGCAGTGTAGGCGGAGCCGTGACGTCATCTTCAATGAGAACCCCAGAAAAACAACACAGCCGTTAGCTGTTAGCACTCAGAGCTCACAGCTCCTCATATATGTTCAGAAACTAGACAAAAGTTAAACAAGTACAAACCACAGACTGCCTGTGTCATGGCGAATACAGTCGCTGCTTTATTTATGTCTGTATAGGCCGTTGTTGTGAGTGTGGACGGTCGGAGCATATACTGCGTTAGCTTAGCCAATCTCCATTTAGAAAACACGCATTTTAAAAGGTTTTTCGCCTGCCGTCTGTCTGCAGACTTGTCAAAGCATTAATTCATGGTTTTTACTAACCAGTATCAGTATGTTGTTACTTCGGCATCATTTTGAAACGTGTATTACAATTAAATCACGGTCAAATATGTCCATCTTGTTGTAGTTGTAGCCCCCCTTGCCAGCGATTCACTCTCTAGTTTAGCATACTCAGCCCGACTCAGCCTCGTTGTCTCTGGCCCTAGACCCACGATTTTATGAGGCCAGAAAAACTGTGAATTAGGACCCGCCGGCCGGTACTAGGCCAAGTGGAAACGCAACCAAAGACGGGCCGCTGACGTCACAGCCCTCTTAAACCGTGCTCCGCGCTGTAGTGGAAACGCGCCATTAGACACTGCGCCCTGCCCACTCTGTTGCTAGATTTGAGAGAAATAAGCAACCAGGTCTATGAAAACAAGCCCAAAAGAAGCAACACATACATGATGTTGTGTACTTTTAAACCAAAACTAAGGCCTCAGGATGACTTTAAGACGTGAACATGGTCATTTTTGTTTTGTAACATTAAATAAAATAATAAAAATATTTTATATAAAAAAAATTCCCGATACCCGATTTTTTTTTCCCGATTCCGATCTTTTGAAAATCACGTGATCGGCTCCGATCCCCGATCACGTGATCGGATCGGGACATCTCTAATGTCCTTAGTAACAGCTGGAAGAGAGCGGGGGGGGCTACAAGGATCTGTTTGGGGTTTGGAGCAGGACACTTCAGAGACATGTCTTATATCTGTTGCAGCTGCAGACTCTGAAGAAGAGGCTGGACCTGGAGAAGCTCTCGGAGCAGCACGACGAGGAGGTCCAGCAGAACATCTACGACCCGGAGCAGGAGAGCCGGTTCACCAAGAACCAGATCAGAGAGGAGCTGAACAACAGCAGGAACCAGGAGACCTCCAGGGGGAAGAGGAGGAGCAGGAGGGAGCTGCCGGCTCCTCCTGCTCCTCCTCTTCCCCAGGAGGAGGAGGAGGGAGAAGCTGCTGATCCACAGGAGAGAGGAGGAGACAAGGGAGCCAAGAGGAAGAGCAAGAAGGGGAAGGGGAGAGGAGACAAGGAGGCGAAGGAGGCAGAGGACAAACTGCTGCAGGAGTATCAGCTGCAGATCGCTCAGCAGGAGACGAAGACTCAGGAGGAAGAGGAGGAGAGGAGTGTGAAGACTAAGGAGGAAGAGGAGGAGAGGAGGAGTGTGAAGCCTAAGGAGGAAACACAAAACGTTTCTCTGAATAACGACGTGGGGAAGAAGAAAAAGAAGAAGCTGAAGTCTGTCATCACACAGGAAGCAGGGTGAGTGATGTCTCTGAGGGTTCTTCCTCTCATTGAAACACTTCTCCGGAGACTCTGAGACTCTGAGACTCTGAGACTGAGACTGAGACACTGAGACTGAGAGACTCTGAGACACTGAGACTGAGACTCTGAGACTCTGAGACTCTGAGACTGTGAGACTGTGAGACTCTGAGACTCTGAGACTGTGAGACTCTGAGACTCTGAGACTCTGAGACTGTGAGACTCTGAGACTGAGACTGAGACTGTGAGACTCTGAGACTCTGAGACTGAGACTCTGAGACTGTGAGACTCTGAGACTGTGAGACTCTGAGACTCTGAGACTCTGAGACTCTGAGACTGAGACTCTGAGACTGAGAGACTCTCAGACTCTGAGACTCTCAGACTCTGAGACTCTCAGACTCTGAGACTGTGAGACACTGAGACTGAGACACTGAGACTCTGGGACCCTGGGACTCAGAGACTCTGGGACTCTGAGACTCTGGGACTCTGAGACTCTGGGACTCTGAGACTCTGAGACTCTGAGACTGAGACTCTGAGACTCTGAGACACTGAGACACTGAGACTCTGGGACTCTGAGACTCTGGGACTCTGAGACTCTGGGACTCTGAGACTCTGGGACTCAGAGACTCAGAGACTCTGAGACTCTGGGACTCTGAGACTCTGGGACTCTGAGACTCTGAGACTCTGAGACTCTGAGACTGAGACTCTGAGACTCTGAGACACTGAGACACTGAGACTCTGAGACTCTGGGACTCTGAGACTCTGGGACTCAGAGACTCAGAGACTCTGAGACTCTGAGACTCAGAGACTCTGGGACTCTGAGACTCTGGGACTCTGAGATCTGTTCATCTAGGTGTTAGTTGCAGCTCTTCATTGATGTCGTTCTGTTCTCTAGAGATGAAGAGCAGGATGCAGATGTGGAAAACGAAGAAGAGTCAAAGGAGAAGAAGAAAAAGAAGAAGAAGAAACACGGTAACTGGAGGTCTTCTTTCCCCCCCTCTACTTTAAAGAGTCCTCTACTGCCAGGAAGTACTTTAAAGAGCCCCTGTTATATCAGTATGTAGTGTCTCTACTTTAAAGAGTCCTCTCCTGCTGATGTTCAGGTGTATATCAGTATGTAGCGTCTCTACTTCAAAGAGTCCTCTCCTGCTGATGTTCAGGTGTATATCAGTATTGTAGTGTCTCTACTTAAAGAGTCCTCTCCTGCTGATGTTCAGGTGTATATCAGTATGTAGTGTCTCCACTTTAAAGAGTCCTCTCCTGCTGTGTTCAGGTGTATATCAGTATGTAGTGTCTCCTACTTTAAATAGTCCTCTCCTGCTGATGTTCAGGTGTATATCAGTATGTAGTGTCTCTACTTTAAAGAGTCCTCTCCTGCTGATGTTCAGGTGTATATCAGTATGTAGTGTCTCTACTTTAAAGAGTCCTCTCCTGCTGATGTTCAGGTGTATATCAGTATGTAGTGTCTCTACTTTAAAGAGTCCTCCTCCTGCTGATGTTCAGGTGTATATCAGTATGTAGTGTCTCTACTTTAAAGAGTCCTCTCCTGCTGATGTTCAGGTGTATATCAGTATGTAGCGTCTCTACTTTAAAGAGTCCTCTCCTGCTGATGTTCAGGTGTATATCAGTATGTAGTGTCTCTACTTTAAAGAGTCCTCTCCTGCTGATGTTCAGGTGTATATCAGTATGTAGTGTCTCTACTTTAAAGAGTCCTCTCCTGCTGATGTTCAGGTGTATATCAGTATGTAGTGTCTCTACTTTAAAGAGTCCTCTCCTGCTGATGTTCAGGTGTATATCAGTATGTAGTGTCTCTACTTTAAAGAGTCTTCTCCTGCTGATGTTCAGGTGTATATCAGTATGTAGTTGTCTCTACTTTAAAGAGTCCTCTCCTGCTGATTGTTCAGGTGTTATATCAGTATGTAGTGTCTCTACTTTAAAGAGTCCTCTCCTGCTGATGTTCAGGTGTATATCAGTATGTAGTGTCTCTACTTTAAAGAGTCCTCTCCTGCTGATGTTCAGGTGTATATCAGTATGTAGTGTCTCTACTTTAAAGAGTCCTCTCCTGCTGATGTTCAGGTGTATATCAGTATGTAGTGTCTCTACTTTAAAGAGTCCTCCTCCTGCTGATGTTCAGGGTGTATATCAGTATGTAGTGTCTCTACTTTAAAGAGTCCTCTCCTGCTGATGTTCAGGTATATATCAGTATGTAGTGTCTCTACTTTAAAGAGTCCTCTCCTGCTGATGTTCAGGTGTATATCAGTATGTAGTGTCTCTACTTTGAAGAGTCCTCTCCTGCTGATGTTCAGGTGTATATCAGTATGTAGTGTCTCTACTTTAAAGAGTCCTCTCCTGCTGATGTTCAGGTGTATATCAGTATGTAGTGTCTCTACTTTAAAGAGTCCTCTCCTGCTGATGTTCAGGTGTATATCAGTATGTAGTGTCTCTACTTTAAAGAGTCCTCTCCTGCTGATGTTCAGGTGTATATCAGTATGTAGAGTCTCTGCTTTAAAGAGTCCTCTCTCTTGCAGTGAGTGAACAGGTGGAGGTGGATGCAGACCTCCAGGCTCCTCCAGCTCAGGTGTTTGATGACAGTCTGGTCCTCGGGGTGTTTGTCCATCGGACCGACGGGCTGCAGAGCGACCTGCTGGTCTCTCACCCCATGGTGAAAGGTTACACGTGGTGGCGGAGAGGAGGCGGGAACAGTACCTGAGGAAGGAGGACAGGTGTAGCCCCAGAAGGACTGTTTATAGAAACATATAAAACATATTTAACATTACCTTCACAAATAAACCCATCATTCATTCGCGACTGCAAGAAGTCTCAGACGGACAGACATGGAAATAATTTGCTCACAAATCAGTTTTTCTTGTATTTATCCAACACTCTGGACCTGGTTAGAGTTTCCTCTACGAGCAACATGTGATCTGTCTCTCCTCTGTCTCTCCTCTGTATTCTTGTCCCTCCTCGTCTCTCCTCGTCTCTCCTCTGTCTCTCCTCTGTCTCTCCTTGTCTCTCCTCTGTCTCTCCTCTGTCTCTCCTCGTCCCTCATCTGTCTCCCTCTGTCTCTCCTCTGTCTCTCCTCTGTATTCCTCTGTCTCTCCTATGTCCCTCCTCTGTCTCTCCTCTTTCCTCTGTCTCTCCTCTGTCTCTCCTCTCTGTCTCTCCTCTGTCCCTCCTCTGTCTCTCCTCTGTCTCTCCTCTGTCTCTCCTCTGTCTCTCCTCTGTCCCCTCCTCTGTCTCTCCTCTGTCCCTCCCTCTGTCCCTCTCTGTCTCTCCTCTGTCTCTCCTCTGTCTCTCCTCTGTCTCTCCTCTGTCCCTCCTCTGTCCCTCCTCTGTCCCTCCTCTGTCTCTCCTCTGTCTCTCCTCAGCCATCGCCCTGTCTCCTCGTTCTACGAGCAGCAGAACGTGGAGCACGTCCTCCCGATCATCACGCAGCCCTTCGACTTCAAGAAGAACAAATCCATCATCCCTGAGTGGAGGGAGCAGATCATCTTCAACGAGCGCTTCGGGTACTTCCTGCAGGAGAACCAGGAGGAGGCGCCGCGAGTCCATCCTGTTCTTCGAGGTCTACACACATCTACACATGTCTATACACATATAAACAGAGCGGGACATTTCCTCATTCATTCAGGATCCTTTGACTTTTTTTCTCAGAATCTTATTTAAAATTAATTAGTTTTTATATTACTTCCATTTGATATTTATACTTTTATAAACACTTATTTGTGTCAGTTCACATTGTGACCTCTTGTTGAAGACAGGTTAAAGGGGCCCTTGAGGGTTGTGGGACAAATTCTGATTACAATCTGTAATCTTTTGAAAAATGTGTTCCAAAAAAGTTGGAAAAAACTGGGGAAACTCCTCCTTTCATACGAGCTGGCTGTATAAGTCTATTGACAGGAAACTGGAGGGACGTTTTTATAAACCTCACTATTAATCTGTTCCTGCTGTAATAGTGTTGTATGTCTCTGTCTCGTAAAGATCCTGGACTTCATGACGATGGAGGAAGCGAGAGCTAACGCTGCCGTGGACCCTGAGCGAGGGTTCAGGAAGATAGCCTGGGCGTTCCTCAAGGTGCTGCATTGGGGCCCTCTTAGTTCACATTCATGTGGTTTAAATTGTTCTTAAAAACACTTCTGTGGTGGGAATGTATTTATCAAATGTGGATAGAGAATCAAACCATTCAGCTGTCTTTGTCGTATTTTAATTCTTGCAAGAAAGTTCAGTCCGTCACACAGAGAGCGTACAGACTGCAGAGTGAAAGACCAAGAGTAGAGTTTGGGTTATTTAAACACAGAGAGAGGAGAAAGGGAGGGGTTGAGCTTGGTGAGACAAAGGAGCATTCTGGAAGTTAGGGAGCAAGTTAGGGAGGCAGTATCAGGAATGTCTCAGATCACCTGAGTTGAAGGTCATACATGCACATAGAGAGTAACTAACAACACTGCAACACATCTTCTCAACAAGAATGTTCCCAAGCTTATCAAAGACGTGAAAGCCAGTAAATAGAGATAAACATTAGCAAGTAAGAATCACACAATGATATTATTAAAGTAAGTAAGTGAGTATAATATTATTCTATTACAACTTCTCATGCTGTTTCCCTGCAGCTGGTGGGCACTAACGGCGTGCTGAACATCAACAGTAAGCTCCGCCTCCAGCTGTTCTGCCCCCCCGCCCGGGCCAAGCGGACCCCCGGCAGCATCGAGGTGTTCGAGTGGTGGAGCAAGTTCCCCCGAAACAAGTACAGCTCTACGCTGTACGTCACCGTGAAGGGCATCGCTCTGCCCGAGCACGTACGTTACACTGATCAGGAGTACTTCTGGATATGTGCTAATGAGGCTGTTTACCATATATATATATATATGATGTTTCAGGTGGACCCGTGCATGCGCTCCATGATGGCTCTCCAGGAGGAGCGGGGCAGCACCTCCTTCTTTGAGCTGCAGAGCGAGGCCACCAGGAGCCTGATGCAGCCCCCCCACACCCTGCCCCCCCCGCCGAGGTGGAGCAGGCTGCCTGGACAGGTGAGAGACACATTACATCTATTACATTATTTTTGAATGCATTATTTAAAAAAATAAATCAATAACTTTATCTTTAGATAAAAAATAATTTTCTGAATCAATTAAATTACATAGAAAATCAATAAAATAATTTGAACTAACATTTTCAAACAAAATGATTGTTTTAAATTAACATTTTGTCTCAAATAATGTAAGTAGGTGGGCGGACATTAAATCAATTTGAATCAATGATTTCCCATCAACAAATAGGATTTAAATAAATTACATTATATATAAAATAAATACAATAATTGTAAATATATAAAAAAATAAATTCCAACATCATTGTTTTAAATTAACATTATGTGTCAAATAATTAAATTCTTAAGCTCAGTAGTTGTGTAATAAGTGGTAGATCGGAAAGGTTGTGTGTTCAAATCCCGCCTGGAACACCACCACTAGTGTGCCCTTGAGTAAGGCACTTAGCCCTTAGTTAGTAAGGAGAATGTCCCTGTAATTGGTAATTGTAAGTCGCTTTGGATAAAAGCGTCAGCTAAATGAAATGTAATGTAATGTAATAAATGATCCAGTCATTATTGTGAACTCTCAGTGTGAGTACTTGTTGGGGTTCATTCCCCAATAAGATAGATATTGAGGGATGAAACCCTCTTTAATGGTTGCACATGCAGAGCACACAGCACACAGTGACATGTGTTCTCTGCATTTAACCCATCCTAGTACCAGGAGTCTAGAACCAGGAGTCTAGTACCTGGAGTCTAGTACCTGGAGTCTAGGACCAGGAGTCTAGAACCAGGAGTCTAGTACCAGGAGTCTAGAACCAGGAGTCTAGAACCAGGAGTCTAGAACCAGGAGTCTAGTACCAGGAGTCTAGTACCAGGAGTCTAGCACCAGGAGTACCAGGAGTCTAATACCAGGAGTCTAGTACCAGGAGTCTAGAACCAGGAGTCTAGAACCAGGAGTCTAGAACCAGGAGTCTAGTACCAGGAGTCTAGTACCAGGAGTCTAGTACCAGGAGTACCAGGAGTCTAATACCAGGAGTATAGAACCAGGAGTCTAATACCAGGAGTCTAGAACCAGGAGTCTAGTACCAGGAGTCTAGAACCAGGAGTCTAGAACCAGGAGTCTAGAACCAGGAGTCTAGTACCAGGAGTCTAGTACCAGGAGTCTAGTACCAGGAGTCTAGTACCAGGAGTCTAGTACCAGGAGTCTAGTACCACGAATCTAGTACCAGGAGTACCAGGAGTCTGTTGTGGCAATTTTGTACTCACAACAGGAAAGAATGAAACAGAGAGGAATCAATTAAAACACAAACACAGGTATAGTTGATCAATTATTATTTCGTTGTACAACAATCAATAATAATGAGGAAAACATTACCTCTGCTCTCAAGCAGTCCTACAGCAATGCCTTCTCCGAATATTCAGAAACACAGGACACATATAGGTTTTCTAAAAGACACGAACATGTTCCCTAATCATGTTTAACGCACACACATTGTCAGGTCTCCTAAACTTGGACGTACCAACCTCAGAGCAACATGTAAGTTCCAGATGTCAAAAGGTCATTATCTCATGAAGTCTTTAGGAGCCTTGCAGCATATGAATTATCCAATTAACAAACTATATATATCGTCTGCACATGAGCGCACATACATTTCTTTACATTTAACTAACACACCAACATCCTTATCGTTTCTTAGCTAATGCATGCTGGATATGAACCACTAACTAACAAGACTTTAACTGTATTATATCTGAGGAAGACCTCTCTTGGAGTTCCTCTGACCTTTGCCAATTTACTTAACATGGGTACATCTGCTGTTAATTGCAAAGACCATTGATAATTAGCAAAGAGACTCATGGGCCTCTTCCAATATCTGGAAACTGTAATTAAATCATAGTTATATTGAGAAGGTCCAAGACTTGACATAACAAGTCTAATACCAGGAGTCTAGAACCAGGAGTCTAGTACCAGGAGTACCAGGAGTCTAATACCAGGAGTCTAGAACCAGGAGTCTAATACCAGGAGTCTAGAACCAGGAGTCTAGTACCAGGAGTACCAGGAGTCTAATACCAGGAGTCTAGAACCAGGAGTCTAATACCAGGAGTCTAGAACCAGGAGTCTAGTACCAGGAGTACCAGGAGTCTAATACCAGGAGTCTAGAACCAGGCAGGAGTCTAGTACCAGGAGTCTAGTACCAGGAGTCTAGCAACAGGGGTTGGGGGTTGTCCGGTGCCTTGCTCAAGGGCACCACGGCAGGGCAGGAGGTGAACTGAGACCTCTCCAAGTAGCAGTCCACACTCCATATTTAGGTCTGGTCGGGGACTTGACCCGGCGACCCTACGGTTCACAGCCCCTACGGTTCACAGCCCCTACTGACTGAGACCCTGCTGGACTGACTAACCTGCTCTCTTTACACCTACTGTCCTCCACTTAGTGTGTGTATATGTGAATGTGTTTAAGTTGACGTGTGTGTGTGTATGTTTGTGTGTGTGTGTGTGTGTGTGTGTGTCTAGGTGTGCAGGATCCCCAACAGGCCTCTCCTCTCTCTGAGGGGGGGGCAGTACGGCTGCCTCACGCTGCAGTTCTCTCACAGCGGGACGAGGCTCGCTGCAGCCTGCGCCGACAGAGACTCTTTCCCTGTGATCGGTGAGGACAAAACACTCACTGTTTCTCAGGAACCTGAACACACCTGAACACACCTCACCTGAACACACCTGAACACACCTGAACACACCTCACCTGAACACACCTGAACACACCTGAACACACCTGAACACACCACACCTGAAAGTCAGAAACAAATTACTGTTTTAGCAGAGAACTCTTTTCTGTAATTTGTGAAATCTGAAGTTATGTTGAACTGAAATATTAGGCTGTCTGTGAGATTTAACATCGTAATCAAGATCACATTTTATGCGCCGGTGAAGATGGCCGCATCGTCTTTGTGCTCCCCTCCAACTTTGCCCATTTTCGTATTTTGTACATATTTTTTTTACTTTTGCCGTTTTACTTTTAACATGGTTCGCAACATGCTAGCCGACCGCACCTACTCTGCCATACAATACAGCAGAGAGGAACTTCTCCAATTGCGAAACTTCGTGGACAATAATAACCCTCCGACAAACAATGGAGATTCACCATGGCTACCTGTTGCTGTTCTACCTGAGAGACGCAAGAAGAGGACAAAGCGCGGATGCCGGGCCGGGTTGCTGGTCAGACTGAGGGAACGAGAGAATCGGCCCCCTCTTCCGAGTATTCTTCTGGCTAATGTTCAATCCATTGAAAATAAGCTAGATGAACTCAGAAGCCGGATTGCTTTTCAACGGGACATTAAGAACTGTAACGTGTTAATTCTCACTGAGACTTGGCTCAACCCCGCTATCCCGGACTCCGCCATTGTCCCTGATGGATTCTCTATTTTCCGTCAGGACCGGACTGCAAACTCGGGGAAAAGTAAGGGAGGCGGTGTGTGTGTAATGACTAACAACAACTGGTGCTCAGATGTGAAGATTATTTCATCGGACTGTTCCGCACATCTCGAGCACCTCATGATCTCATGTCGGGCCTTCCATCTGCCGAGGGAATTCACATCTGTTGTGATAACAGCAGTGTATGTCCCCCCCCGCAGCCGCTCGCCGACAACAACACGTCACTCGATCAGCTGTTTGGGATTATTGATAAAACCGAGACTTCACGGCCAGATGCGGCGTTCGTTGTGGCCGGAGATTTCAACACCGCCAACATGAAGAAGGTTTTGCCAAAATATTACCAGCACATCAGCTTCCCGACGCGCGGGGATAACATACTGGACCATGTTTATTCCCCTTTCCGGAATGGATATAAGGCTCTCCCTCGCCCTCCCTTCGGCAAATCAGACCATATCTCACTACTGTTGTTGCCTGCTTACAAGCAGAAACTTAAAAGGGACAGACCGATTACAAGAACAGTACAACGATGGAGCAAGGAGTCAGATGAGGCACTGCAGGATTGCTTTGCATCCACGGATTGGAGTGTGTTTGAGGACAATAACATCAACACACACACGGACACTGTCATCTGCTACATTGGGAAATGCATCGATGACGTGGTACCGAAGGTTTTCTGTACGGACATTCCCAAATCAAAAGCCATGGATAAACTCCGATGTGCGCTGCAAGCTGAGAGCGCGCACTATCGCGCACACAGCGGGAGATTTGGAGGAGTACAGGAAGTCTAGGTATGATCTCCGGAGAGCAATTAAAAATGCAAAGAGACAGTACAAAGAGAAGGTGGAATCTGACTTCAAAGGCTGTAACACTAGGAATATGTGGGCGGGACTAAGGACAATGACTGACTACAAAGGAGCAGCGGGGGGTGCTGCGGGAGTGTCTGCGCTGCGCATCTCTCCCAGATGAGCTGAACAGTTTTTTTGCACGCTTTGAGAGCAGCCGGGCTGTGGAGGTACAGAGGGACCAGGAGCTACACTGCCCTTTTGTTTTAAATAGGGCAGATGTGTGTAAATCCTTTAAAAGGGTTAACCCACACAAGGCTCCTGGACCTGATGGCATCCCTGGCCGTGTTCTCAGGGTGTGTGCAGTTCAGCTGGCAGAGGTGTTCACAGACATCTTCAACAGGTCCCTGCTGCAGTCTGTAGTCCCCACATGTCTTAAACACTCCACCATCGTTCCTGTCCCCAAAAAGACAATCATCACCTGCCCCAACGACTACCGCCCATTAGCACTCACCTCCACCATAATGAAGTGCTTTGAGCGGTTAGTCAAATCATTCATCACCTCCTCCCTCCCTGACTCTCTGGACCCCCTGCAGTTTGCCTACAGAGCAAACAGGTCCACTGACGACGCCATAGCCCTCACCCTCCACACTGCCCTCTCACACCTGGACCCGAAGAACAGGAACACATATGTGAGAATGCTGTTCATTGACTACAGTTCAGCATTCAATACCATTGTGCCCTCCAAGCTGGCCATCAAGCTCAGAGACCTCGGGCTCAACAGCGCCCTCTGTGACTGGATCCCAAACTTCCTGACGGGCAGACCCCAGGCAGTGTGGGTGGGAAACATCACATCCTCCACCCTGATTCTAAACACCGGTGCCCCTCAAGGCTGCGTGCTCAGCCCTCTCCTCTACTCCCTGTTCACCCACGACTGCGTGGCCACACACAGCTCCAACACCATCGTGAAGTTTGCTGATGACACGACCGTCATCGGCCAGATCACAGACGATGACGAGACGGCGTACAGAGAGGAGGTCGAAAACCTGACATCTTGGTGCCAGGATAACAACCTCCATCTCAACATCAGCAAAACTAAGGAGCTGATTGTGGATTACAGGAAGCAGCAGGGAGAGGGACACGCCCCCATCGCCATCAATGGGACTACGGTGGAGAGAGTCAAAAGCTTCAGGTTCCTTGGGGTCCACATCACTGAGGACCTGACATGGTCTCTTCACACCACCACCATCACCAAGAAAGCTCGACAGCGGCTCTTCTTCCTCCGCAGGTTGAGGAGGTTCAAAATGGATTCCAGGATACTCTGCAACTTCTACAGGTGCACGATAGAGAGTATCCTGACTGGCAGCATGACGGCCTGGTACGGCAGCTGCACCGACCTCGATCGTAAGGCTTTACAGAGGGTGGTGAAAACTGCACAGCACATCACCAGGACGGAGCTGCCATCCATGGAGGACCTTTACTCCCAGCGGCTCAGGAAGAAATCACTACGGATTATCAAAGACCCCCCATCACCCCAGCCACAAACTGTTCTTTCTGTTGCCGTCTGGCAGACGTTACCGCAGCATCCTGGCAAGGACAAGAAGATTCGGAGACAGTTTCTTCCCGCGGGCAGTGAGACTGTTAAAAAATTGAACTGTTGAAACAACATCAAACATTCATCTGCTACTCAGTAGTATGTATCTAATACCTAATATATATATATCATTCCAATAACTTGTATATAGACTCTATTGCACTATTCCACATCATAACTTTATTTCATTTTATAACTATTATTATTTTTGTATTGCTCATGCTCTTATTGTTATTATGTTATTATGTTGCATTGTTGGAGAAGCCTGTGACATAAGATTTTCAACTACATAATTACTCTGTAACTATGTCAGATTGACAATAAAGAACCTTGAACCTTGAACCTTGAGATCCCGTAGGCAGCCAGGAATGTGCTGATTATGTCGTTAAACTGAGTGTGAGTCTGAGTCCCAGGTCTCAGACTCAGACTGTTGAACTGCGAAATTATTAATCCTAAATCCTCAGATTTAAAGAGAAGTATGTCGTCTCTAGCAGACTTTAAACCCCTCTAAATGCTCTGGAAAAGGACTCTGGAGAATCTGGAAAGATCCTCCACACGTTCATGTTGATAATCCAGAATATCAGCTGTTTGAGACCCCCCTCTCTGTGTGTTAGTGTATGAGCCCCCCTCTCTCTGTGTGTTACAGGGCATGAGCCCCCCTCTCTGTTTGTTAGAGTGTATCAGACCCCCCTCTCTCTGTGTGTTACAGTGTATGATCCCCCCCTCTCTCTGTGTGTTACAGTGTATGAGATCCCCTCTGGAAAGGCTCTGCTGGTCTTCAGCGGTCACCTGAAGATAGTGTATGATCTCTGCTGGTCTTCAGACGACTGCAGTCTGCTGTCGGCCTCCTCTGACGGGACAGTACGGTACGTTAGGGGGCCTGTTCTACTCTGTTGTGAAGTAATTTCCAAATTCTGAGAAAAAAAGTCAAAGAAAATTGAAAAACTATAATTCTTAGTTTTGAAAAAATCTGAGACAAAAAGTCAACATTTGACAATGTTCAGAAAAAGTTATAATTTAGAAAAATATAAGAATTCGTAAAAAGTAAAAATCTTGAACAAATGTAAACGTATGTATTGCTGAGAAATAAAGTCAGGCCTCTGTAGTGATGTGTGTTTTTGAGAAGAAAAAAAAGTCCTACAAGAAAGTCAGAATTCTGAGGAAAAAGTCAAACAAACTTTAAAAAAATAAATTGTAATTCTGAAGCAATCTGAGACAAAAAGTCAAAATCTAGGAAAAATATAAAAAGTCGAAAAAAAAAAAAAAATACATTTCTGAGAAATAAATGCAGGCCTCTGGAGTGATGTGTACAATTATTTATTTTTTAAAAAGGTTGTATTCCAAAAAAAAAGAACTGGAAAAAATGTATTCTCAGAAAGAGATGTTTGAACTCTCAGCATTAAAACATCTTTCAGTATTCAGAAAAAGAAAACAATCAGGGAAAAGTTACAATTATGAGAAAAAAAAGTATACTTAGAAAAAAGTCAGAATTCTGAGGAAAGTCAAACAAACTTTAACATTTTTTTTTTTAAATTGTAATTCTGAAGAAAGTCAGAATTCTGAGGCAAAAAGTTAAAATCTAGGAAAAATATAAAAAGTTAAAAAAAATAAATTAAATTAATTTCTGATAAATAAATTCAGGCCTCTGGAGTGATGTTGTGTCGTACCCCCCAGAGTGATGTTATGTCCCCCCCCCCCTCCAAAGTGATGTTGTGTCGTACCCCCCAGAGTGATGTTGTGTCGTACCCCCCAGAGTGATGTTGTGTCCACCCCCCCCCTCCAGAGCAGCGATGTGCAGTCAGTGGAGGCAGGGGAGGCAGAGCCTCACCTGTCATACTCCAATGTAACGGAAAAACAATTAAAGAAAAACTAAATAATAATAATAATAAAATGTCTCCACTGATCTTGTGTAAATGTGATTTCTGTATGATTCCAATCGCATTTTATAGTCAAAATCAGCAAATTTGCCGAGCTCCGCTACGGGAGCGATGAGAAGTGAGCACGAGCACTGCCTCACGTAAGCCCACAGTAACTTGCTGGAGCGCGGACACTAATTTAGCGCGGCCACTTATTTTGTGAGCGCGCTCAAGCCATTTACTGTGGGGTGAGGTGAGGCACAGATGAGCCCTGCCTCAATTCAGAATGCGTCACCCCACAGAAACTGTCTGGAAAGCGGGCCCTAAGCGCATGCCTGTTCCCATCTCACTGTAGGTCACCAATGTAATGTTTGTAGATCCCTTTATTACATTTATCCTCGCCATCCATAGTCTCTAAATAACTTATTTCACGTATATATGATATTTAGGCTCGCTGGTCTCATCATACAACGGCAATGAAAAAAGCACCAGGAGAGGCAGCCATAACCTCTGCCGCACTGAAGGGGGCGCACGTGAGCCCACAGGTTCTTGTTGCTACTGTTATTCTACCGCAAACAACAAACTAGACTTTTGAAACTACAGGAAGATAAGGAGGACTTTTACAAAACAGTAATAGAGATTGTTGTCCAGAAGGATAGCATGGACTTATATTCAAGTCAAGGTAAGACCACAACTGTAATGAAAATGGGATCTTACTTAGAAAGAACAATCCAATATTTAGATATTGGGTATCCTTTTGTTGATCGGTCTGTTTAAAATTAATCATAGCATCAGACTAAAAAAGCTTTTGAAAATAACAGAATATTTCGATTAAGGTCAAAATAGGCTATACTATTTGTAAATCTGACTCTGAAAGAGTCAGTGCCTCACCAGCCATGAACCTCACCGCACGTCACTGCTCCAGAGAGATGTTGTGTGTCCCCCCCTCCAGAGATGTTGTGTGTCCCCCCCTCCAGAGATGTTGTGTGTCCCCCCCCTCCAGAGAGATGTTGTGTGTCCCCCCCCTCCAGAGAGATGTTGTGTGTCCCCCCCTCCAGAGATGTTGTGTGTCCCCCCCTCCAGAGATGTTGTGTGTCCCCCCCTCCAGAGAGATGTTGTGTGTCACACTTGTTTCCATCAACATGCGTGTTCCTCCAGAGAGTGGAGGCTGGAGGGTCAGCAGAGCCAGAAGGTGCTCCCCCACCCCTCCTTTGTGTACTGCGCTCAGTACCACCCTGCGGCCCCCGGCCTGGTGCTGACGGGGGGGTTCGACACCCTGCTGCGCCTCTGGAGGGTCGACGTGCCCGACGTGAATGGGCAGCTGCTGCAGGAGGTCGAAGGTCACCGCAGCTTCATCAACTCACTCTGCTTCGACCCCACAGGTACAGGAGGAATACCGTTTATAGATATATCAAAGTCAAAGTCAACTTTATTGTCAGTCTTTCAGTTTGTGTGTACAGAGAGATCGAAATACCGTTTCCCACAATCCAGAATATAAAATACAAATATATATAAAAATATGTATAAAAATGTGTGTATGTATATCCTATATATACACAATCAACAGACACATGTATACATATGCACACATATAGTATTCTGTTGGTGTGTGGATGTGGTATACAGTATATATATATATAGTATTCTCTCTGTGTGTTGATGTAGTATACAGTATATATATATATATATATATATATATATATATATATATATATAGTATTCTCTTGGTATTTAAAGCTGGTATCTGTTCTCATGTGTGTGTGCTGTGATCAGGACGCAGGATGTTCTCTGCTGATAACTCAGGCCTGATCCTGGTGTGGAAGACGACAGGAAGTGAAGGAAAGAAGAGTCTGCTGAGTCAGCGCTGGGTTGTGGAGAAGGTACAGGAGAGGAGGTTAACTCATACCGTTCATATGGTTAATATGTTTAATATGTAAAGTATAACTGAGCATGTGTCCTGCAGGAGATCTCAGAGAGCGACCTGCTCAGCGTCCCCATCAACAAACTGCAGCTGCATCCCAACGGACGCTGCCTGCTGATCCACGCCAGAGACAGCGTGCTCCGGATGATGGACCTGCGCATGTAAATATCATATATCATATATATAATCTGGTGGTTTTCTGCTTCAGATGCAAATATTATATTTGTTTATGACTGAGGGTGGGAGGGCAACTCAAAGAGTAAATATGACAACAAAGAAACATGAAGTGTATACAAATGGGATCAATAAATAAAATCTGATCTCATCTTGATGTTATCTGATCTCATCTTGATGTTATCTCATGCCTGTGGTCAGCCTGGCGGTGAAGCGGTACATCGGGGCCACGAACTACCGAGAGAGGCTCTGCAGCACCTTCACCCCCTGTGGGAGCTTCCTGTTCTCAGGCAGCGAGGACGGCATGGCCTACGTCTGGAACACCGACACCGGTCAGACCCTCTTATTATCATTAGTATTATATCTATCTATATACTTGCAGCTGACCCCCCCCCCTCCCTCTCTCTCTCTCTCTCAGGAGACCAGCTGGCGGTGTACTCGGAGCTGAGTTTCTCCACCGCGCTGCACGGGGTCTGCTTTCACCCCCACGAAAACATGGTGGCCTTCAGTGCCTTTGGACAGGAACAGCTGATCCACCTCTACCTGCACGACCGCACAGGTGAGAGCACACACACGCACGTATGCACACACACACACACGCACGCACGCACACACACACGCGCGCACGCAGTCAATGGGTTAACCCTAACCCTGACCCAGTCAATATGCAAATAAAATAAACTTTTATAAAACATTAAAAACTGGCACAATTTTAAAACAACTTCAATTATGGGATATTTTTTTATTTTTTTTATTTAACCTTTATTTAACCAGATAAAAACATTGAGATAAAATCTCATTTTCAATGCTGACCTGGCCAAGAAGGCAGCAACGTTACACATAACACATAACACAAACATATAAAATACAGAGAACATAACTAAGAAAACAAAAGATGAAAAAGCAGTCACTACATTGTGCACATTAGGACAATAAAAAAAGTACACTACTTGTTACTGCAAGAGCAGCTGGTGGTGAGGACTTCAGACAACTTCAATTTAAAACATGAAATAGAGACAAGTGCCCTCAGTTTGAGGCGTGATTGAAGGTCATTCCAAGACCAAGGACCATAATAAGAAAGACTCCTTTTTCCAGCCTCAGTCCGCACGGCAGGAACCTGGAACCGTATCCAGGCACTGGATCTGAGTTTGTAAGAGTCACAAACTGGGGCAAATCTGACACATATGTAGAGTGGAAGCTTTCCTAAAATGGCTTTATACATTAATAAAAAACAGTGCTGCATCCTACGCATACTAAGTGAGGACCATCCAGTTAGGCTGTACAGTGTGCAATGATGAGTCCTATAGAGTGCATTTGATATATAACGCAGTGCAGCATGGTAAAGTGGGTCAAGTTTGGCCAAAACAGTGGGACAGGCAAATCTATAGATTGTATCACCGTAGTCCAGCTGGGACAGGAATAAGCCAGAGTCCAACCTTTTACGGGATGAAATTGAAAAACAACATTTAAATCTGAAAAGGAAGCCAAGAGTGAATTTCAATTTCTTTGTTAAAACTTCAATATGGTGTTTAAAGTTCAGATTACTGTCCAACCAAAAGCCCAGATATTTGTATGTATCGACAAACTCAACAGAGACGCCAGCAAGGGTGTCAATGGAGAGGCAAGAGGAGGACGCTGACTTGGGAGCAAAAAGCATTGCTTTGGTTTTCTTACTGTTCAATAGCAGTTTAGAATCAAGAAGCGCATGCTGCAGCGTGATACAATCAGATTTTAAATTGGAAACGGCCATATCCAGAGAAGGAGCACATGAATATAAAATAGTGTCATCAGCATACATATGATAGGTAGAAAATTGCATCTGATTACAAATATTGTTTACATATAATAAAAAGAGCAAGGGCCCCAAGATAGAGCCCTGTGGAACTCCCTTCTCCAAGGTGACAGGGTCAGAGACAGTACTACCCAACCTGACGCATTGAGTACGGTCGGTTAGATAACTCTGAAACCAGCAAATGGCATTGTGACCGAAACGAGACACCAACATAACATTAGACATAATGTGGTGATCTACAGTGTCAAATGCTTTGGCTAGGTCAATAAACAATGCAACACAAACTGATTTCTTATCCAAAGCAGCCTTAATATCGTCTAAGACTTTCAGACTGGCAGTCACAGTACTGTGCTTTGATCTGAATCCAGATTGCATAGGGTTAAGGATGTTGTGTGAATTTAAAAAAAGTTTTAGCTGAGTAGAAACAAGGGACTCAAGAATCTTTGATAACACAGAAAGATTTGAGATAGGACGATAGTTATTCAACTCCGTGGGATCACCAGCTTTCAAGAGGGGCGATACCAGAGCTTGCTTCCACACAGCTGGCAGTGTGTGAGTGGACAGGGAGAGATTACAAATATCAGTTACTGGTTGTGCTATCATCTGAAAATAAAGATATAAGAGCAATCACATCGACCAATCATATCTCTGTTCTCTGTCCTCCCCCAAAGTGATCACATCTGACAGTTTCAGCTCCTTCTGTTCTTTATTCCAGGCAGAAGGGGCAGCATATTTAAAGCTGTTTGACCCAGGTCTGTTCTCCCTTTAGGAACCAGCATCTGATCAACTTGAACAAATTGCAAGATCTGGACAAATTACTGCGATATTTTCTGAGATTATGAAGAGATTATTTTGTGAAAGAGAACAACAATACAGAAAGATTATGTGTTTTATTTAGGAGAAATATGTTTTAAAAATGTGCAAAACAAACATGAATACTCACTGAAGTTAAAGTAGAAATTATGAGAATAAAGTCTAAAAGAATATTTGTATTTTTTGTTGTAAATTTATCACGTTCATTTTAGAAGATTTGAACTAAGGAAATGCCCCCCACGTCCTTTTATACGTCTTCATCATTTGTGTTTCACAGCAGGGGGTGTTATAGCATTCAACCCTAACCTAAGTGTACCCCCCCCCCCCATGTCTCTCTGTCAGTGTCCCAGCTGGAGGGCCAGAGTCTGAAGGCCAGCAGCAGGTCGTCCTCTGCAGACCCCCGGACCCCCAGGATCCCCCCCACCCCCCCCCTGCAGGACTCCATGGATCAGCTGATCCTCACCACCAGGCTGGCTCTGAAGATGCAGAGCGTCAAGGAGCAGCTCGACTCTGTGCTGGTTAATATCCTTTATCATAACAACTATTATTATTATTTATTTGTATTATAACCTTTTAAATATATATATATTTGTATTGCTATTATTATTAATAATATTATTTTAGTTTTATTATTATTGCTTTGTTATTTTTATCATTGCTAATATTATGAATACCTATTATATATTATTTCTTAATATGTTTTATTATATTTGCTGATTGTACCATTGCCTTTATTTTTGTTATAATTATTATACATATAATCATTATATAAAGTTATTGATAGTAACAAATCAAAACCTTTATTGTTATTTTTTTGTCCTTTTTATTTAAAATATTGTTTTATATGTTTTTATATAAAAATACAGATTTTAAACAGATTTTTTTTTCAGGAGCCTCCTCGGTCCTCTCTGTCCGGACACAACGAGCCAGGTGCTGCCAGGGTGTCACATCTAATATCTCCATCAACCTGTCAATCAAACAGAGCTGTTTACTTATTGTGTGTGTGTGTGTGTGTGTGTGTGTGTGTGTGTGTGTGTGTGTGTGTGTGTGTGTGTGTGTGTGTGTGTGTGTGTGTGTGTGTGTGTGTGTGTGTGTGTGTGTGTGTGGTGTGTGTGTGTGTGTGTGTGGTGTGTGTGTGTGTGTGTGTGTGTGTGTGTGTGTGTGTGTGTGTGTGTGTGTGTGTGTGTGTTTCAGATAAAATGAGCTTCATTCACTCAGGGAGGAGCTTCACCCCTGACTCTGTCACAGTGAGTTTTAAATCAGATTAAAGTGGATTTTAAAAAATATTTTCTGTCATTTTAAACACCAAACACTCCTCTAGGAATCCTCATAATAATTCATAATGATAACGGTTAGTAGCAGCTGTAGTAAACGCACCCTCAGTGAACCTGGTCTTATTGAGGTGATGTAACATTCATGGCCTTCATATCAACAATAGACCTCATTCAGTAACTTCATCCTAAATGTGTTTCTACTGCTCTAACCCGCAACAATGTGACCAGGAGTCCCATACAGACGCTCTTTGTAAAGGAGAGGAGGGAAGCTACATATTTAATACCATGGGAGCATTATTACTAATCTGATTACAGACATGTGGGAAAGAAGTCCTGAAGACAGAGTATAGTCCGGCTCCTTTTCACTAAATACATATATTTAATGTATTCTTCACCTTAGATTGACCTCTCTACCTTGAATTAAGAAGAAGATTGATGAAATGTGTGCATGTAAAGTAGATGTGTGTTTGAAGTGAAATTAATCCCCTGCCCCTCTTGTTTCAGACGGGGTTAAACTCTTCGCTGCCCCCCCCCTCCTTCCTCTCTCCTCACGCCAAACTGCAGATCTCTGGATCTGTGGCCGAGACGCTGATCCCTCAGGCCTCGCTCAGCACTCAGCAGCGTGAGCTATTACACTGTTATTACACTGTTATTACACTGTTATTACACTGTTATTACACTGTTATTACACTGGTATTACACTGCTGTTACACTGCTGTTACACTGTTATTACACTGGTGTTACACTGGTGTTACACTGTTATTACACTGGTATTACACTGCTGTTACACTGTTATTACACTGGTGTTACACTGTTATTACATTGGTGTTACACTGGTGTTACACTGTTATTACACTGGTGTTACACTGTTATTACACTGGTGTTACACTGGTGTTACACTGCTGTTACACTGGTGTTACACTGGTGTTACACTGTTATTACATTGGTGTTACATTGGTGTTACACTGGTGTTACACTGCTGTTACACTGGTGTTACACTGTTATTACATTGCTGTTACACTGTTATTACACTGGTGTTACACTGTTATTACACTGCTGTTACACTGTTGTTACACTGCTGTTACACTGCTGTTACACTGTTGTTACACTGCTGTTACACTGCTGTTACACTGCTGTTACACTGCTATTACACTGTTATTACACTGTTATTACACTGCTGTTACACTGCTGTTACACTGTTGTTACACTGCTGTTACACTGCTGTTACACTGTTGTTACACTGCTGTTACACTGCTGTTACACTGCTGTTACACTGTTGTTACACTGTTGTTACACTGTTGTTACACTGGTATTACACTGCTGTTACACTGCTGTTACACTGTTGTTACACTGGTATTACACTGGTGTTACACTGGTGTTACACTGGTGTTACACTGGTGTTACACTGCTATTACACTGGTATTACACTGTTATTTTAACAAATAGAGACTCTAAATCACTACAGAATAGCTAGTAGGACACATATATAAAGCCTCTGTGTGGCTCCTGTGTGGAAGAGGTTGGTGGCCCCTGGTCTGATAATCCTGGGAATGTGGGGTCACATATTTGTTGGATTACAGCTGAGCAGATCAGGAGTGAATGTTCTCCGTGTAGTGGAACATGTTCTCCATGTTGAAACATGTTCTCCGTGCACAGACGGGCCTCTGATCGTTTACACCTGTGTCCGTACGTCTGTAATGAATCACTGCTTCCTGTTACACTCCAACATGAAAACAAGCTAACAGCTGATTGTTCCTGTCCCTTCAGGAGGCTTCAGTCCAGTGGGTCAGCGTCTGAGAGGAGCCCCGTCCTCCAGGCTGCACACGGTAACAGATCATACTGTGTATTATAAAAGGGTTTCTATTTTACTGAGCATTTAGTCACCTGCTAAAGCTATTTGTCCGCCAAAGGTGCTGCTGCGGGATTAAAAGGGTTTCCAGGGGTCCTTTAAAAAAAAGTCAATTTTCCAAAATGAAACTCTGAAACATTTTGAGATGTTTGTGTGTCTCTCCTCCAGAGCGTCTCGGACCGTGTCTCTGCAGGAGGACATGTCTCTGCAGGAGGACATGAGACAGAGTCAGCTGATCAACAGGTGGTGAGTCTTAATCCATCAATACATCTAGTTCCTCAGAGACTCCTATAGGCCTGCTGCTGGTTTCAGAGAACAGCTTTCAGGAGCTTCAGTTTCACCCCCTGCAGGTGGTGTCTCTGTACGACTACAGGGCGTCCCGCTCTGACGAGCTAACGCTGCGCCGCGGGGATGAGGTCCAGGTCCTCTACAGGGACAACGAGAACTGGTGGTTCGGACGGCTGTCTGACGGACAGCAGGGATACTTCCTGTCCTCATACGTCTCCGACCAGAGTGAGAGAGAGGGGGTGTGGGGGTTAGGATCATGGATGTTTAATAAGAACTGGATACTGCGTTGGAGGCGGGGCCTGTTCATTATGAGAGCTGCTCATTGGCTCATGAGGACAACATGGCCTGACATTTTAGAGAGCAAAACGTCACAGATTACCCATCATGCCTTGCTGTCAGAGCAGAAGTACCCGTATGTAGCTCATAGAGCGCAGTTTAGTTTCCCCTTAAGCCACGCCTCCTGTCATTACGCCCCGCCTCCTGTGATTAAGCTCCACCCCCGATCTCCCGCTCTTTAATAAGAACTGGATACAGCGTTGGAGGCGGGGCCTGTTCATTATGAGAGCTGCTCATTGGCTCATGAGGACAACATGGCCTGACATTTTAGAGAGCAAAACGTCACAGATTACCCATCATGCCTTGCTGTCAGAGCAGAAGTACCCGTATGTAGCTCATAGAGCGCAGTTTAGTTTCCCCTTAAGCCACGCCTCCTGTCATTACGCCCCGCCCCCTGTCATTAAGCTCCACCCCCGATCTCCCGCTCTTCAGTAGAATGAATGGAGAGAGAAAATAAATCTGGATTCGGCTTTTAGTGCATTTTACAACTTTAAGGACCTAATGATTCTAAAAAGGGCTATCACATAGTGCATTCTGGGTAGTTTATTTAGTTAAAATGATCCTCTGATTGACAGACGTCTCTTTCCCAATGTTAGTCAATGGTAGAAAGTCTTTCTGTCCCAGTGACGTCACGGACTGATACGGAAGTTGCAGTACCGCCGTTTGGACACTAGGAATATTTTCCTCAGAGTGCGGAGCACTTCCTGGGGGCTTGTTTATAATGCAATGTGTAAAAGATGCATTGTGGGTAAGAGTTATTGTCTGTTGCAGGAGACGAGGGGGCTCCGGCTGCTGAGGAGACTGAGAGGAAGACTCCCACCAGGGTGAGGGGACGCCATCATACAGATTCATCTACTGCTGGTTCTGATGATATGATACTGGTTTAAAGGAGACCTGATGGTGGTCTTCATCACTTCCTGTCTCTCTGCAGGTGTCTGCTGCCATCAGTTCCTCCGGAGAGCTCCGCTTCCTGTCAGAGACAAACGACCCAGAGACACAGGACACCAGGTGAGACACTGAGACACAGGACACCAGGTGAGACACTGAGACACAGGACACCAGGTGAGACACAGGACACCAGGTGAGACACAGAGACACAGGACACCAGGTGAGACACTGACAGAGACACAGGACACCAGGTGAGACACTGACAAAGACACAGGACACCAGGTGAGACACTGAGACACAGGACACCAGGTGAGACACTGACAGAGACACAGGACACCAGGTGAGACACTGACAGAGACACTGAGACACAGGACACCAGGTGAGACACTGAGACACAGGACACCAGGTGAGACACTGAGACACAGGACACCAGGTGAGACACTGAGACACAGGACACCAGGTGAGACACTGGGACACCAGGTGAGACACAGGACACCAGGTGAGACACTGAGACACAGGACACCAGGTGAGACACTGAGACACAGGACACCAGGTGAGACACAGGACACCAGGTGAGACACAGAGACACAGGACACCAGGTGAGACACTGACAGAGACACAGGACACCAGGTGAGACACTGACAAAGACACAGGACACCAGGTGAGACACTGAGACACAGGACACCAGGTGAGACACTGACAGAGACACAGGACACCAGGTGAGACACTGACAGAGACACTGAGACACAGGACACCAGGTGAGACACTGAGACACAGGACACCAGGTGAGACACTGAGACACAGGACACCAGGTGAGACACTGAGACACAGGACACCAGGTGAGACACTGAGACACAGGACACCAGGTGAGAAACTGACAGAAACACAGGACACCAGGTGAGACACTGACAGAGACACAGGACACCAGGTGAGACACAGAGACACAGGACACCAGGTGAGACACTGACAGAGACACCAGGTGAGACACTGACAGAGACACAGGACACCAGGTGAGACACTGACAGAGACACAGGACACCCAGTGAGACACTGACAGAGACACAGGACACCAGGTGAGACACTGACAGAGACACAGGACACCAGGTGAGACACAGGACACCAGGTGAGACACTGACAGAGACACAGAACACCAGGTGAGACACTGACAGAGACACAGGACACCAGGTGAGACACTGACAGAGACACAGGACACCAGGTGAGACACTGACAGAGACACAGGACACCAGGTGAGACACTGAGACACAGGACACCAGGTGAGACACTGAGACACAGGACACCAGGTGAGACACAGGACACCAGGTGAGACACAGAGACACAGGACACCAGGTGAGACACTGACAGAGACACAGGACACCAGGTGAGACACTGACAAAGACACAGGACACCAGGTGAGACACTGAGACACAGGACACCAGGTGAGACACTGACAGAGACACAGGGACACCAGGTGGAGACACTGACAGAGACACTGAGACACAGGACACCAGGTGAGACACTGAGACACAGGACACCAGGTGAGACACTGAGACACAGGACACCAGGTGAGACACTGAGACACAGGACACCAGGTGAGGACACTGAGGACACCAGGTGAGACAACAGGACACCAGGTGAGACACTGAGACACAGGACACCAGGTGAGACACTGAGACACAGGACCACCAGGTGAGACACAGGACACCAGGTGAAGACACAGAGGACACAGGACACCAGGTGAGACACTGACAGAGACACAGGACACCAGGTGAGACACTGACAAAGACACAGGACACCAGGTGAGACACTGAGACACAGGACACCAGGTGAGACACTGACAGAGACACAGGACACCAGGTGAGACACTGACAGAGACACTGAGACACAGGACACCAGGTGAGACACTGAGACACAGGACACCAGGTGAGACACTGAGACACAGGACACCAGGTGAGACACTGAGACACAGGACACCAGGTGAGACACTGAGACACAGGACACCAGGTGAGAAACTGACAGAAACACAGGACACCAGGTGAGACACTGACAGAGACACAGGACACCAGGTGAGACACAGAGACACAGGACACCAGGTGAGACACTGACAGAGACACCAGGTGAGACACTGACAGAGACACAGGACACCAGGTGAGACACTGACAGAGACACAGGACACCAGGTGAGACACTGACAGAGACACAGGACACCAGGTGAGACACTGACAGAGACACAGGACACCAGGTGAGACACAGGACACCAGGTGAGACACTGACAGAGACACGAACACCAGGTGAGACACTGACAGAGACACAGGACACCAGGTGAGGACACTGACAGAGACACAGGACACCAGGTGAGACACTGACAGAGACACAGGACACCAGGTGAGACACAGGACACCAGGTGAGACACTGACAGAGACACAGAACACCAGGTGAGACACTGACAGAGACACAGGACACCAGGTGAGACACTGACAGAGACACAGAGACACCAGGTGAGACACTGACAGAGGACACAGGACACCAGGTGAGACACAGGACACCAGGCGAGACACTGACAGAGACACAGGACACCAGGTGAGACACAGGACACCAGGCGAGACACTGACAGAGACACAGGACACCAGGTGAGACACAGAGACACCAGGTGAGACACTGACAGAGACACAGGACACCAGGTGAGACACAGGACACCAGGCGAGACACTGACAGAGACACAGGACACCAGGTGAGACACAGGACACCAGGCGAGACACTGACAGAGACACAGGACACCAGGTGAGACACTGACTGAGATATAGACAACAATAAACAATAAATAGTGACTGTTGTTGTGTTCCTGCAGAGTGAGGAGGAAGAAGAGGGTGAAGAAGGCGGGACTTCTTGCTTCAGACACTCCTCAGGAGACGAGCAGGAGGAGAGGAAGATCAACAGACAGTCCTCTGGCTCACAGACACTCAGGACACAGCAACGCTGCCTTCACTCCTGACACGTAGACTACAGAGACATACACTACAGACACGTAGACTACAGACACGTAAACTCCCGACACGTAGACTCCCGGCACGTAGACCACAAACACGTAGACCCCAGACACGTAGACTCCCAACACGTAGACTCCCGGCACGTAGACTACAGACACGTAGACTACAGACACGTAGACCCCAGACACGTAGACTCCAAACACGTAGACTCCCGGCACGTAGACTACAGGCACGTAGACTACAGACACGTAGACTACAGACACGTAGACTACAGGCACGTAGACTACAGACACGTAGACTACAGACACGTAGACTACAGACACGTAGACTACAGACACGTAGACTACATACACGTAGACTACAGACACGTAGACTACAGGCACGTAGACTACAGACACGTAGACTTCCGGCATGTAGACTACAGACACGTAGACTACAGACACGTAGACTACAGACACGTAGACTCCCGGCACGTAGACTACAGACACGTAGACTACAAACACGTAGACTCCAGACACGTAGACTCCCGACACGTAGACTCCCGACACATAGACTCCGGGCACGTAGACTACAGACACACGTAGACTACAGACACGTAGACTACAGGCACGTAGACTACAGGCACGTAGACTACAGGCACGTAGACTTCCGGCACGTAGACTACAGACACGTAGACTACAGACACGTAGACTACAGGCACGTAGACTACAGGCACGTAGACTACAGGCACGTAGACTTCCGGCACGTAGACTACAGACACGTAGACTACAGACACGTAGACTACAAACACCTAAACTACAGACAACTACAGACACGTAGACTACAGACAGCTCCACGTTTCTCCATGTATTCTGCACACTTGCCCTGCAGCTGTTCTTATTTCTGACGTCAGTATGTTGTGTAAATGCAGATTCATGAATGTACTGTAAAGACGTGCTGATGAAATGATTCATAAAGAGTTGTGTAATTCAAACGGTATGTTTATCATATTGATCCACCTGTAGGAGCTGAGAGGGTTAGGGCGGCTGATCAGAGTCTAAACTCTGAGGTTTTACTTTAAACACAGAATGTAGTATTCATTTATCAAAATAAATCCTGATTATTTAAATATATGTTCACATGTTGTCGTTGGGCAGATTTAAAGATGAAGTGTGTACATGTTACCGCTGATATAGAGAAACTAGATGTATGTCCTCAGCCTGTCAGAGATTACTCCTCTTCCTCACAGATATATATTTGTAAAGTACATCATGTAAAGGCACAGGTTTGATATCAGACTTGTTTTTATAATAAAAACACTTGAAAGCGATATTTTGAATTTGCTTTGATTTTTGAACATATCTGTAAAACCATGATAATTACCAAATATTACTAAGAATTATTTATAAGTAGTGTGGGGGAAACATCTGAAGCAATAGGAGTCAGGACTCAGAGAGACACGAGGAGAGCTGGAGCTTTGATGGAGTCAGGACTCAAAGAGACACGAGGAGAGCTGGAGCTTTGATGGAGTCAGGACTCAAAGAGACACGAGGAGAGCTGGAGCTCTGATGGAGTCAGGACTCAGAGAGACACGAGGAGAGCTGGAGCTCTGATGGAGTCAGGACTCAGAGAGAGACACGAGGAGAGCTGGAGCTTTGATGGAGTCAGGACTCAGAGAGACACGAGGAGAGCTGGAGCTTTGATGGAGTCAGGACTCAAAGAGACACGAGGAGAGCTGGAGCTTTGATGGAGTCAGGACTCAGAGAGAGACACGAGGAGAGCTGGAGCTTTGATGGAGTCAGGACTCAGAGAGACACGAGGAGAGCTGGAGCTTTGATGGAGTCAGGACTCAGAGAGACACGAGGAGAGCTGGAGCTTTGATGGAGTCAGGACTCAAAGAGACACGAGGAGAGCTGGAGCTTTGATGGAGTCAGGACTCAGAGAGACACGAGGAGAGCTGGAGCTTTGATGGAGTCAGGACTCAGAGAGACACGAGGAGAGCTGGAGCTTTGATGGAGTCAGGACTCAGAGAGACACGAGGAGAGCTGGAGCTCTGATGGAGTCAGGACTCAGAGAGACACGAGGAGAGCTGGAGCTCTGATGGAGTCAGGACTCAGAGAGACACGAGGAGAGCTGGAGCTTTGATGGAGTCAGGACTCAGAGAGACACGAGGAGAGCTGGAGCTCTGATGGAGTCAGGACTCAGATGCGGCTTTCACACCAGCGCTTTTCCCTTTCTAGCTCCGAGCGAGAGCTTTTCTGGTTCAGCTCCGGTTTCCCTTTTCAGCTCCCGCTCTGTTCACACTGCCCAGAGCTGCCGCTGCTGCGTCATGACGTCACCGTTTACGTCGCTGATTTCCTCCCACAACAACAACGGGCTGGGGACTACGTCGGGTCGATGATCGTGTTGCTTTTAATCATACGAAGCCAGATTAAATTAAATAATGACTTCTCCAACCTTATACTTTTCTCCAGAGTGCCGTGGTTCATTGTTTATTAATGTGTTTCAGCGGCATTTACCGACCGCTGCAGTGCTGGCTGCTCTTCAACGGGAGTTTATTCTCCCGTTAGCTCCGGGTTAGCTCACACGGCTCTAAAGTATTCACTGTCTGACTGTCACACAAGCAGCTGATACATATCCCCAGTTCCCCTTAAGTGAATGTGTGTCAGTCTGAATTGACGCTGTTTGGCATCACAACGCTGTTATGAAAGTTTCTCTGGTATAACATGGGTGATGTTAGCATAGCAACCGAAGCTAAACTGACTACTTGCTAAGCAGTTTCCTATAGGCACATTTTACCGGCGTATTTTTCATTATGATTCTACTTCTGATAGTCGGACATGACAACCTGTATAGCCCATGTATCTCCACAATGATCAATAACAGCGAACGGATGGTCAAAGTAAGGTTTCCTGCACGCCTCGACGTAAGCGACGCCGCGTCATAGCTCCGAAGCTCTTGCCTCTGGACCGACAATTTTTTGGAGCTGGAAGTGAACCGCATTCCGGAGCTATGACGCGCCGCCGCTGCGGTGTGAACAGGAAAAACCGGTGCTTTTCAGGCTCTAGCTCCCAGCAGGAGCTGGAAAAGCGCCGGTGTGAAAGGGGCAAGAGAGACACGAGGAGAGCTGGAGCTTTGATGGAGTCAGGACTCAGAGAGACACGAGGAGAACTGGAGCTTTGATGGAGTCAGGACTCAGAGAGACACGAGGAGAGCTGGAGCTTTGATGGAGTCAGGACTCAGAGAGACACGAGGAGAGCTGGAGCTTTGATGGAGTCAGGACTCAGAGAGACACGAGGAGAACTGGAGCTTTGATGGAGTCAGGACTCAGAGAGACACGAGCAGAGCTGGAGCTCTGATGGAGTCAGGACTCAGAGAGACACGAGGAGAGCTGGAGCTTTGATGGAGTCAGGACTCAGAGAGACACGAGGAGAGCTGGAGCTTTGATGGAGTCAGGACTCAGAGAGACACGAGGAGAACTGGAGCTTTGATGGAGTCAGGACTCAGAGAGACACGAGGAGAGCTGGAGCTTTGATGGAGTAAGGACTCAGAGAGAGACACGAGGAGAACTGGAGCCTTGATGGAAACACTGACGGTTTATTTGGAGCTTCGGCCGGAGAATTCACAAGACATGTCACGGGCCACGGTCTGACCACACGGTTGAGATGCCACAACCAATTCTGAAGAGCCCTCCTGTAGCTCCAGGTTTTAACTAGTTCAGAGTGTAATGATCAACATTCTTCAATAGATAGACTAAACAGCTGAGGACACTGAATCACATTTTGTTGTCTCTTATGGCTCGGGTCATCTACAACCCCGAGAAGGATGTGTTCCAGGTGTCCCACAACAATAACTATCTCTGACCGACAGTTGCCCGGTCACAAACTGGTAACAACAACGACTTGCTAGCGCAGCCCCTCCTTAAGGGAGATAGCGGCTGCTCGAGGCTGGGCCTCTGCGTCAGAGGGCGAAGGAGGAGGACATGCAGGGCGAATTATTCCCTGACAAGTAGAGTTGCATATAAAGGAATATGTCCGTTAGGGTGCTATGATTTAAAATTCTCCAGATTATAATATGATGTATGAATAAACGGGAGGGTTTTTTATTCACATATTTTCAGTTTTTATTGAAATCTCTGCAAGAATTGTAAACATGTTCAGTCAGAAGAGGAGGCACAGAATCACGACGGGCAGTGAATGCAACACGATGCAGATTGTTATCAGATCAATCAAAGTGGGCCCAGTGTGGATCCCTGTGGGACGCCAGGGGGAAGCTTACAGGAAGTAAACAACTGTAAACCAAATTAATTTAATTTAAACAATAAAAACACACCAGCCCCCGAGGAGAGGACCCTCTGTTCTTCAAGTTTTTATTATAATTACACAAGTCTTTCCCAGAGTGCAGTGCGTTGATCATGTGATGCAGAAAGACCGTTAAGCCGCTCAGGAAACAAAGGAGCATTTATTCAGCTCTGCTCCAGTCACTCATTATATATTCACTCATTCATCAGCTTTAAGCTTTAAGCTCTCAGGAAACAGTCTGGAGGAAACACACATTTATAAAACTGTTCATAAAAACACATGAACTTATTTACATGAAGAATAAATCATTAATAAATGGAAAGAATGATATTTTAAATACACTTTATCTTTTTACTGTTATGAAACAATTCAACAATAAATAATGATGTTTAATAAAATCATTAATGCTAGAATGTATTCATCTTGAAATTAGTTTTTTTAAGTTTGTTTATTTATTATTATTATAATAGTATTTTTTTACCAGTATTTGTTATTTATAATATTTTTCTTTAGATAATAATAGTTTTTTTTAAGAATCTAAAATATGTTTAAAGATGTTTAATTACATATTATTAATAATAATAATGCATTTTATTTAAAGGTCCCATGTCATGCTTTTCTGGTTATAACCCGTCCCCTTGTGTTATGTAGCTTTTTCTGCATGTAAACGGACCGCTAGTGGAGCCTCGCAGATGGGGGTGCTGCAGCCCCCTTCAGCACCCCCCCCCCCCTTTCCCGCGTCCATTCGCTGTGTCTCGCAGACCCCTCGCAGCAACCAGGAAACCACACCAGTAATCCAGCTC